GTAAGTGATCTTACCCGCTGGGCTCTTCTTCAGCAACACTTCCTCATCCCTTGCTAGGCACGTCAAGTACACCATCCCTCTGGCGGGATTACTCACTTTCATCTCATACCCTCTGTTTACGCGCCTCGATGTTGTGAGGACTCTCTTCATCGTCACAATCGCTTTTACAGCTACGATTCCCTGGGATTCGTACCTGATCAGGACCGGCATCTGGACGTATCCCCCAAACGCAGTGTTAGGACCGACCCTCTATGACATTCCCATCGAGGAGCTCTTCTTCTTCGTCATACAAACCTACATCACCGCTCAGCTCTACATCATCCTCAACAAGCTTGTGCTTCATGCTCAGTACCTGAACTCCCCCGCCACGCTCCCGCAATGGATAAAAACGGCGAAGCCTTTCGGCCAGCTAGCGCTCTTCAGCAGCGTCGTCTTGGGCGCATGGCTGATCGCCAAGGAGGGTGAAGGCACCTACCTGGGCCTGATTTTGGTTTGGGCATGCTCCTTTGCGCTCCTCACTTGGACTATCACGGCGCAATTCCTTCTGGCCCTGCCATTAGCTTGCACCGCTCTACCCATTTTACTGCCCACTATCTATCTCTGGGTTGTTGACGAGATGGCCTTGGGCCGCGGCACCTGGGCCATTGAGAGTGGCACAAAACTCGAACTCAAGCTCTTTGGCAGCCTCGAAATCGAAGAAGCAACCTTCTTCCTGGTTACCAACATGCTCATTGTCTTTGGCGTGGCAGCCTTTGATAAGGCCGTCGCCGTCTGCGATGCATTCCCAGACAAGTTCGACAAGCCGGCAGACGCCCTATCCATGTCACTGCTACGAGCTCGTGTTTTCCCCTCATCTCAGTACGACATGGAGCGTATCTTGGGCATCCGCCAGGCGGTCACCAGACTGGCCAGAAAGAGTCGTAGCTTTCATCTCGCCAGCTCCGTCTTCCCAGGCCGCCTACGGATCGACCTGACGCTGCTGTAAGTAGAGTTCCAGCGCCCCAAACCTAAATGTAACCCTATATCGCTGACCAACTGCTCCTCTCCGCAGCTACTCCTACTGCCGTCTAGCCGACGACCTTGTCGACGATGCCGAGACCCCTGACGAGGCCGCCTCCTGGATCTCCAAACTCGACCGCCATCTAAGCCTGCTCTACAAAGACCCCGACGCGACCTCGGCGCCGCTCGCTGCAAAGTACGCTGCCGAAAACTTTCCAAAGTCCGCTCTTTCGGCTCTGGATCTCCTCCCTTCATCGCTCATACCCCGCGAACCCCTCGCTGAGCTCCTCAAGGGGTTCGAGATGGATCTCTCCTTCAGCAAGGACACCTTCCCAATCACGGATCCCGAAGATCTCGAGCTCTACGCTGCCCGCGTTGCCAGCACCGTCGGACAGGCCTGTCTTGAGCTAGTCTTCCGCCACTGCCAGCACAATCTGCCTGATTACATGCAAGCCTACCTCCGCAATACAGCGCGCCAGATGGGCCTTGCGCTGCAGTTCGTCAACATTGCGCGCGACATCGCCGTAGACGCCAAGATTGGGCGTGTATATCTGCCTACGTCCTGGCTGAAGGAGGAGGGCCTGTCGCCCAAGGATGTTCTCGCGAACCCCAACAGCGAAGGCGCCGGCAGGGTGCGCCGTCGCATCCTCGCCAAGGCCTTTGACCACTATGGCGAGGCGAGAGACTCCATGAAGTGGATTCCCTCGGAAGCGCGCGGCCCCATGGTCGTCGCTGTGGAGAGCTACATGGAAATCGGCCGGGTCCTCATGCGCAACGACGGTGCTGCGGCGGACGGGAGTGGGCGAGCGACGGTGCCCAAGTCGCGTCGCATTTGGGTGGCTTGGAGCACGCTGATGGCCGCGTAGATTTGAGTCTGGGCCCAAAACTGGGCTTGGGGAATTTGCATTTTCGTCTTAGATTTGTGTGCTGTTTTGTTTTGGTTCCTCCTCTCTTTCTCCTCTCACCCTCTTCCCACTCAGGCCCTTTCGATGGCGTTGATAGAGGCATTACGAATAGACAGCATGGCGTCCATAGGAGTGAGAGCAGTATGACATAGACGTGACCCAGGATGCAAAAGGCGTTTTCACGCTGCTTTCTTCGATACCAGGTCCACGATGAGATGCATTTGTTTCGTGTTCCCCACAGAGATCGAACCGCCCGATCGAAACGTCGCAGCAGTGACATCACGTCAAGCTCCGTAGTCCATCCAGATTGCTCCCAGGAGCTATGTAAGCAAGGATCCGTGCGCAGCCTGCAAGGGGGACATTTGGCCCAAGCTCCTTTACCGAATCTTATCATCTCACCGAGTCGCTGTGAAAGCTTACCGAGAAATCAGTGACCCAAACGAAGATATCTAACCTAGGTCTCCACCAAAAAGAGAGCCTCCATTGACAACTGCTCAAATCGCCAAGTTTCCTTCTTTACCCACCTCGACCGATTACGGGGGAGAAGAGCCACCACGTTTCCAACCCAATTGAGCCGGTCGCGCGAAGAACTTCAATTACATCAAACCACATGCGCCGCCAATCGTAGACCTTTGACAGACATAAGCCTCTCAAGATGATACCCAGAACGCCCGCCCGCCGTCTCCTCCGGGACATCGTCCACGCGCACCGCATCGCGCCGCGACCCTTCCTCCGACCTTTCACATCCACACCCTCCTCCCGACTCCAGGCGCAGCGCCCGCCGCCGCCGCCTCCGATCGCGCAGTCCCCCCTCCAAACCCAACAACAACAAGCCGCCGCCAACGCCGCCCTCTCGAACCTATCCCATCTCACCCCGGCACAAATCACAGCCCTCCTCTCGACGACACCACCATCAACACTACCGGGAGGCGGCGGAGTAGGAGGCATTCCCGGCGTCCCTCCCGGATCACCTGCCGTCGGGTCAGTCCCCGGCGCCAGCGCCGCCGGCCCCTCCCGCCGCTCAACCCTCCTCCGACGCGCCCTCTGGGCCCTCTTCTTCTTCGCCCTAGGCTACAAGCTCACCGACGACCAAATCGCCACCATCCGCTTCACGGCCCCCTTCCTCTACCCGCCCGTCGAGGCAGACGAGCACCAGATCCCCCTCTTCCGCGCCCACGCGACCTTCCAAGCCATCGAAGACTACCCCATCCTGCAGTCCCTCGTCCCCTCCATGCCCCCCAACACCGACCCCGGCGCCGCGGGGAACCCGATCCCCCAACTCCCGACCTCGGACTGGGAAAACTGGGAACCCTACCGCGACTTCTCCCCCGAGCGAACGGCACATCACCTCTGCGCGGGGCCCGCGCTGAATAACCCCAACGGCCTCGGACTGGTCAACATTGTGTTCCGGCACAAGTACACGGGCGAGCTCATCCTCGCCATCATGTTCGGGCAGGGGACGTCGGGGTGGCCGTCCGTCGTGCACGGCGGGATGCTCTCGACCATCATGGACGAGGCCATGGGCCGGCTCGCGGCGCTGAATTTCACGGCCAACACGGCCGTCACGGCGAAGCTGGCCATGGACTTCAAGGTGCCTGTGACGCCCGGGATGCTGTATATCGTTCGCGTGGGGAAGGCGCTGCCGGAGTGGCAGAAGGAGAGGCCAGACGAGGAGGATAAGACGGATCGCAAGTTGTGGATTATCGGACGGATGGAGGATCCGGATGGGGCTACTGTTGTTGAGGCCAAGGGGCTTTTTGTGGTGCCCAAGGGGATTGAAGTGCAGCCTCTTGGTGGGAGGTTTTGAGAAAATGGGGAAAGGGTCTGTCGACGTAGGGGTTGGTGTTTGAAGAGGAGGATGGGGAGATGAGATGGAGAAAAGGAAATCAAACGTGCATTCAATGGCATTTTGCAAAGGGGATGGATTTCATGCTATCCCGGTTGCCTCTCTCGAAAGCTGAGGCGAGTAAAAAACAAAAGGGGGGGGGGGGGGCGGAGGCTACTGAAAAGTGATATGTACCGACAGATGTGGGAGTCAAGAAAAGAAGCAAAATAGACAAAACTTGTGATACCTCAAGTCAGTTCAACGTAAAAAGGCCCACGATTCCACCATTCTATCGTACCGCCTACCCAACCGAACAGAAAGTTGACACTTCCACAAAGATTGACAGCATCAGACTTTGATTCGTCTGTGTGGCGTCCCGTTAACTAAGTACGTACTTGATACATGGTCGGATTCTTATAACCCTGATCTTCCAGGGGAAGGGGAAGGGGATTGAACTCAGGTAGAGAGGGCTGCGTCAGTTTCTGTACTTTGATCAAATGTGGTATCCAGGAGTTGTACAAGCTGTTACAGTTATGCTCACTATGTACCTATGTATACCGCTCGTTATCTAAATGTCTTCCTTGATCGTGACACTGACGTTATCTTCATGCGAACACATCTCCAAAGACATTAGAAGGTTCTAAGATAACAGACAGTTAGGCTCTAGATCATCGAGTACGATCGTTGGGCAGGTATAGATTGTGAATTCCAACAAGACGTTGCTCATCTTCCAAGTAGTAGGCGTGCGTGGTACGTTTGTCGCTTAGGTAGTCAACCAGGCCTACGAGATCACACAGGTAAGTAACGAGTCAAGGTACCAATTTATACATAAGTAAAGCGCTGGGCACGCTTCGCGTGTGCGTATTATACATTGCCTATAGAGGCCCACTGTTGCGAGTGATTACGATGCTCCTCACTGCGCAATCAAGTTCCTAACCAGTCCGTAACCGCACTCTGATCCCATTCTTCTTTACATGCCATGAAGTTCTCTGGCATAACCGCTACAAAGGCGTGTCACACCCCACACCGCGCTATACCAAAAGCATAGCCCTCCTCATCATCATTCGTGCTCTTCACCAGTTTAAAGATGTGGTTGGCTGTCAGTTCATAGTCGTAACATACCCGCCAGAGATACGAGTATGTTGTTGAAGAACATGAGATCAACGCCGGCGACGGGCAATGATGGGCGCCGATGGGCAGCGATGGGGGTCAAGCTGCCAATACCGCTCCCCATCTCGGCCGCGAACCCTCCTCCTGCACCTACAGAGGACCTACGACTGTTGCAAAGACGTCGCGTTTGTCCACTGTGGCCGCGGCTGATTGTTTGCCAAGGGATACATGTTGGCAATGTGGTAGGTGTTGAAGCCTCCTCCCCTGCCACCGCCAAACGATCCACGACCCCCTCGGTAACCTCCTCCACTTCCACCGCTGCTGCCACCACCTCCACCTCGACCACCCCGTCCGCCACGATAGCCACCACGGGAGTCGCCACGGAATCCGCCGTTTCCTCCGTTGGTACGGTATCCCTGAGGCCCACTGGGTGGTGACCTAGATGAAGAGTGGCCTGTCGAGCCTTGGTCTGAGGCAGCACCATTCGAGTGACCGTAGCCTCCAGTAGAGCTTCCTGATCCTGGTGGAGGCCCTCGTGATGGTCCACCGTTGGACCCGTTGCCCTGATGGGGGTTGCCTCGACCCCTTCGTCGATTATTATACTGCCTTCTACCGGTCTTAGGTTTCCCTTCTACCGAGAAATCAATCTTCTTGATGGGGTCTGTGATCATGGTGTTGTTGTTCAAACCGAGGCGTTCGAGCTCATCCGCGGGTGTGGTCCAGAGCTGGAACACATTCTCCAACTTTCCAACCTGTCGAGTTTCGACGACCCAGGCTTTGACATACTCTCCGTTCTTATCATAGTCGAAGGCTTGCTTAACAGGATTGAAAATTCTGTTGTCACCACGAGGATCATTGCCGACGCCAGCGACGTACTGCCAGTTGGACCAGTTCGAGCTAACGTCATAGTCGACAAGAAGATACTCGTACCATTCAGCTCCGTACCGCCAGTCGATACCGAGATGCTTGGTCAAAAAGGAAGCCACATTTTGACGAGCTCTGTTAGAAGTGTAACCAGTGTGGTACAGCTCGCGTTGCGAGGCGTCAATCAACCCCATGCCGGTGGTTCCCTCAAGGAACCTGTTCAGTGTCTTTTGAATATCATCCGGCGACGCACCAAGGTTGTCGTCAGAAACCACGTGCTCAGGGTCCGCTGACTTCCACTTGGGTGTCTTGTCGGCCTTGAAACCAGTGACGCGGAAAAGCTGCCCTCTAAACTTCTTCGTGCAAAGACGCATATAGTCACGCCAGAGGAGTTCGAATCGCACAGCCTTGGTTCCGTCATTTTCTCCCTTTCCGTACCCGGGCGTGTCTTTGAATGTAGCATCCTGGCCGTCTTCAAACTTGACCAGAGCCTCATGGATCTGGCGACCCGTCAGGCATCCCAGTGATAGATAAGCTGAAAGTTTGGTGCTGAAATCGACTCCTAGGAGACCGTTGCGTGTGTCCTTGTAGCTTGACATGGCACCTGTCTTGACAAGGTGATCCAGACGCTCAATGCCGACATCCTCGCCACCACTGAACGGATGAACAGAAGTCGCCTTCTCTGGAAACTTTGGCTCTTTCTCGAAGGGGCACTTCAGAGGTTTAAGAAGACCGGACTCAAGGGCATCGTAGGTGAATGGGATCTGAAATGGTGCTTGCTGGGGAGGGATAGCGGACTGCTCAGGGAAGGGTGGAAGGGAACCCTTTGCAGGGCGAGCCAGCGTGGGTCTCGGTTTCTCGCGGAGCGGCTCTTGGGTCTTTCTGAAGGCTGTGAAAACATCTGCCAGGTCGCTGGGAGTTTTGAAGCCGAGGTCGCGGCTGTTGGAGACAGAGAATCGTTAGGCTGATAATGTCTTATCAAGCGGGGCACACTTACTCGTCAATGAAGTATTTCTCGTCCAGCCAAGTCTTGAACTGGACGCCGTGCTTCTCGCAGGCTTTGGCCACTGCCTTCTCATCCTTTTTCTCTTCGATAGCTTCCTCCTCGACCATCCAGACCGCTCCGACCTTTTGGTGTTTGTCTGCGAATCCTTGAAGAAGGTCGCCAACGACATCACCGAATCTGCCTGCGCGTAAAGCCAGGCCACTTCCTACGCCTTCGAGGGATTCTTTGACGTTCCAAACGGACTGAGCGATGAACTTTGTTCGGTGAGGTCCACACCGCCAGAACTTGCCAATCTCGCTGCGAGCTTCTGGGTAAGGGGATTTGCTTCCTTCGCGCAAGAGGCCGGAAATCTCGATCTGGTGAGCCGGGAATACGTAGACAGGGAGGACATGTGTGAATCCGTGGTCAGACGCGGTTACGAGATGATGAAGGATAGGGTTATCCGCAATGCGAAGATCGTGCCGGAGCAGGTAGATGAGGATATTGGACGCCGCCATCGTAGATAGATGCTCGTGGGGTATTGCTCTCTAGTAAAAGCCGGGTTGGATAAAGTCGAGTTCCTTCGTTGTAGTGTCAGATAGACACTGTTTTTGTTTTTGTAGTTTGATGGAGTGTTGGTTTGTATTGAGGGTGAGGTTCGTTGGCAAGATAGAGGCAAAGAGACAGTCCCTTGGATGGATCTTTCTGAGAGCGAGAGAGTGGGTTAAGACAAGTTTGCGGTGGTAGGAGTCTAAACCAAAGTCATGGCGTAAGAGAAGCCGTTAGATCTGCTCTAGCTCCCGACCAGCTGGGAAAGAGACTAGTCTTGGAGTCGCCACAGAAAGTGCAAAAGTTGATTTGCGAGCGAGATGCAAATAGGTAATAGGTAGAAGGGGGAGGTTGACTGGAAGGGAAGGGTAGGCGAGGAGCGGGAGACAGGGTTCCCCTTAGGGCAAGGAACAAGCTAGGAGAAACCTTGGAGTCTGGGTCTCTCGAGAGAAGGGGGGGCCTGGTGTGGAAGGGAAGGTGAGGTTAGGTTGGGGCCGAAGAGAGAATGACGCAGCAGCCGCTAGTCCAGGGGTCCTGCCGCGATGCGATGGTAGGGTGGTCGGATGATGAGGCTGCAAGAGCTACGGCATCGACTTTTAGGTTAGATGATCGGGAGTGAGATGGGAAAGTAAGGTAGTGTGTGTGTATATGGAGTGTCCACAGAGAGAGGTAGGTAGAGAGAAGGGGGAAGGACGATCTGTCTCTTGGTAAGAATAGGAACAAGAACGGAGCCGCCTCTGGTTCGGGTAAGAAGGGCAGAGTTTTTTGTCCAGATGAGCAACAGAGTCCTGGGGCGTTTTACTTGGGAGTTCTAGCTGGCTGGAGCACTGCAGAGAGTCGTTTACGCAGTTCTTGATGAACACTGGGACACATGCAGGGTCGAGCCGCCGTCCCAACTGAGCTGAACCCGGAAGGTTCACGACGCAAGCTCGCTAAAGGGGTGGAGTATTATGCAGTGCAATAGTGTAGGCACCGCGTGCTGGGAAGAAAGTTGATGGTAAACTTGATCGTAGGATAGGTACTGTTATTCCGAGATGAGATTTGATTCAGCGAGATAGATGGAGCAATACCTGACAGACTAGAGGACGAAAGGTTGTACGCAGCAAGGTACGCAAAGAAGACATGGATGGAATGGACGTCGTCGGAGAAAGAGAATGGTAAAATGTCCAATCAGTTTGCACGGACAAACCGCCGATGGCTTAGAGTAGTCATGACGCCTCCTCTCAATGTTCTCCTCCTCGAATGGCGAGCAGAGAGACTAAGTCACATTGGACCCTGAAATTTCATGATCCCTCCGGGTCTGGGCCCCCCCCCGGCCACCCCCCTTCCCAGTCTGTTCGGGTGGCCGCCAGATTTGGATTTGCCATGCATATCCAAGAAACAGGAGAGCCTCGACAGGAATTGGTGCGTTTGTCTACGAACTGGAACGGTGTTGTTGCTTGTCGGCCGATTCTGAATGAGGCAAGGAGGACGGTCATGGTGGTTGCCGGGGTCAACTCCGTGACTCCCCGACCATAGACAGGAGTGATACGATACCTAGAATCTGACAGTTCATACATCGTGCGTAAGGAGGGGAGGTAATTTCCAGGGTACAAAAGGCCGAGACGTGGCAAGGGGAATGCGCTGGTACCGGCGCATAGTGTAGCAAGGAGCGAGGGAAAAGGGCCGCAGGATTGCATGGCGATGGTGAGGGCATGGGAAAGATGGATAGCAGTGCACCGAGATCGAGAGGTACTTCTGATGCAGAGATAAAGTCCGGGGTTCCAGAGATCGAGTCCACCCGGACGGATCCATGGCCCATGGGACTAGTTTTTAGTGGGGAGCACCTCTCTACGTAGTAAGGTATGCAGTACGTACCTACCCTACTGGACCTCTACGTACCTTACCTTACCTTATTCATGGAATGGAAGGTACTGTGGTCGGTACGTATCTGCTGCCCTACCAGGGGACCGCACAACCCTCAGGCCACCGACAAGCCCAGCACTCCCAGTAACCTCACACCTCACTTGCTTACCTCACGTTCCTACGGATATTCCTGCTGCTCGCCTTCGTCACATCTCTGATTCATCGGATTCTGCTTTTCCTCGGACAGCAATGGGATACGAATGCTACCGAATCCCAGAACTCCCAGCTGCATCGCCCCTGGTATGGGCACTTGCATGGGAATGCGCCGTCCAAGGCTGCCGAAAGAGCTTACCGAATTCAACACCCTTGACCACCTCGCTGTGTTCGCCGACGCAGATTCCAATCCACGATGTCCCCTGATCCATTGGACTCCATCAGCAAAAAGAAGAACCACCCGATCGATGCCATCGTCGTGTGTCAAGCTGCAGCAACCGAGCATCGCGGGCAGAGCGCAAACCCATCCTCAATCCACCTCCCTGCCTGTCAATGCAGGTCGCAATGATGTTGGAGCTCGGGGCGGATTGCGGCTTCTACTGCGGAATATGATGAATCATCGAACACCACCAAACGTTCCCGCTTTGTTCCCAGACTCTGTCTTTGGCTTTGGAGACGCCGCCATCGCCGCCGCCGCCTCCTCCTACTACGGACACACGCCCACTACACGTCACAGCCACTCGGCCGATCCATTGATGGATGGGGAATGACAGCTTGGTACGAGAGCAGAGCCTCCAGACTCCAGACTCCAGACTCTTCGCAAGCTTCAGCGCACTTGTGAACGCTATCGAGTCAGTCTCCGGTTTAACTCGCCGTATCAGCACTGCAATCTGCGCGGCACTTATTTCGCGCACAACTTATTTGGAAGCTTTGGCTGCCTACCATACGCCCCTCCCTCCCTCCCTCCAGAGAGCCAAAAATGAGAAGAGATGGTTTGTTGTTGGTCGATACTTGAAAATCCTATTCTGGGTAGCTCAGCTGAATGAATGTGCAGCTGGGCACCCTGTTTTGGCAAGCTGCAACAGCTCAACGTTGTACTGTTATTCGCCAACAGTACACCAACCTCCAGCTGAACCAGGGTGCCAGCTCCAGTATTTCCTGAGCTAAAACTCACAGGCGTGTCATGCTTCCCGACAAGACTCTTCTCTTGTTCTCTCAGGTGCACACAGTTCCCAACCCGCCAGTTGTTCAAGCTATGATTGAGCGTATGGTAACGCCATCGAGTTGCAAAACACTGGCCGTAGTCAAGTCGAGTCATGGAATGGAAAAAGAAAGTCAACTGTTCTCCGAGGGAGACTTCAAAACCCATCTGCTAGAAGGAAAGCCGCACTTCGAGACAGCTCTCAAGCAAAACCCGGCCTCTGCTCCCGCGTGCACCAAAGGCTAAAATTGCCTTGCCTTACTCACATTCTGCATACATACTTCCAATCAAATGGTCCGGGGCTGATACACAACTAGGTGCCGGAACTCGAACCCCTGGCCAAGGCGACGACTTCTTTCAACCCGATCTGCGTTCAGAGCTTGGCCGCCCGGCATCACAGCTCCAAGAAGTTACGGGCTTGCTGAAGCTCTGGTAAACGGAGAGTAATTGTGATGGACAGTTACAAGCCACCCACGCTTCCTCAGCCTGGCAGACAGTGCTGCGCCGAAAACCCCCAGGTTACTTGGCCAATGACAGCCGTCCGCGCCAACCCCGATCTGCGGGCTCGATGCTCAGAGAGCCATACTGATGGATCAGACCGGGTATCTGCGTTGGTGGCCCTGTGGTGGAAATGCCACGCTCTGCTTGGTTACGGCTTTTCCGACGGCCCCGATTTGTACTTCCAATCTAGGCCCTTGATCCTGAACCGGCAATCGGTGTTGGAGAATCCTCCACCACAAAACGTGCGTTGGCTTAATAGTGCTTGGCTCTTAAGCAAACGGCGCCCCGCCGTCAGACCTGCGAACACCTGCTGTTGCACTGCAGTCGCGAGTTTCACCTTTGACAACGTGGATGTCGTTTCTTCTTCCAGAACTCTGAATGCGACAAGGGGAGCGCTACAGCATGCCTCGCGATCAAAATAAGCAGCGGCAAGGCTGGTATCGAAACCCCACACTCAACACCAAATGCTACACGAAGCCTAGACGCCGAGGAAGGAATTACCTGTGCGGAGGAAGCCGATCTCAAATCGGCTCTGTGCATCGTGCCTTGCGTGCTTGCTCACAAAACATGGCACTTATGCCATGCCGTCGATGCAGGTGCTGTAGGGCATTCTCAATCATCGAATTCATCCGACCAATATTGTTCTGCCGGGCCGCAGCTTGTCGAACGAGGTCTCATTCCCGCCCCGAAATTCTAGGCCCGCCCATACCCGGTGACACCCGGATGAGGTACCGGACTCGGACTCCCCGTCCCACATTTCATCGACATCCGGATCGGGGTTGCGAAGCTGACCTGCAAAATATCGTTGTCTCACATCTTCCAACGACAATGACTTTCATTCCAGACATCAAGTTCTCCATGCCACGCACGTCACTGCGTGCTCGCCACGCTACCATCTTTTCAAGGGCCTGATTGTTTTCACCGACTGCGTGATTACTTACCTATCCTTGTCTGCAGGTCTTAGACTCAACGCCGCTGCAAGGACGCGCTTGTGCCTGGCATGCGAACAGGTTGGCATGAGAAGTCTCGACCGTAACCGACTTTCCTACACGTCATTGGCGCAGATTCTAGCCTCCGTTCACCCGCACATGGTCCGATAAGACTTCAGTTCTCACTTCTTATCGACATTGAATGAGTTCACGATGCCTCACCAGCTTGATAAGATTAGCTAGAGAACATTTTCAAAGCTCAGACACTGGTCAATCGTCAGGTCTGGGGTGCGGCGGCTAGAAATGTGATTGTCCTCGTCTACCTCTCCTCTGCGTCTTCAAATTGATAACGTAGGAGCATTCGTTTCTCGCGGTTTATTTCAGAAATTGCACTCTGGCGTCTGCTTCCCCATGCCTCCTGAGTTGTTCATCCCGCCTGATACGACCGGAAAGTTCGATGATGGGCCTAGGCCCCAGATGTGCATGTCCGGAAAAAGAAAAGAAAATAAGGAGAAAGATCGTCCCCGACGATCGTCGCCCAACCGTCCTATGGCATCATCAGTTTCAATTACCTCCGAACCAGGTCTCTGGAGCCTAGGCAATGCATCCGTCATATGTATAGCCGATGCCAATCAAGTGCGGTATCATGAATACCCATGGCATTCACCTGCTATTTCCGGATCGCCATGAGGCTGCTCTACGTTTGAAAAGTCTAGGCAATCTCGATGAGCAAAGAATCAGAGCGTGCCATCATCCAGACATCTTTTCTAACTGCTGGCAGGCATTTGAAGTCGAGCGATCTTTCCCCTGCGCGGTTGTTGATATCACCATGTCAGCTTGACCAGGCCACCGGTGCGTAGCAGGCTGGTGCTGAAAGATGCCCATTGATTCCGTGGAAAAGCTGTGATGGGACGATGGACACAACCGGGGCCCACGCTGCAACATGGAAATTCTCCGCGCAGTCGAGTGACGTCTTGGTTGAAGTGGCGATTTCTCGCGTATGTGCTGCTTTTCGGCTGCAAAAAATACTCTAAAACTCCACTTCTTCTGGGCCAATCTTTTTTCCCACCGGTGACCAGTGGCGGCTCCCTCCGGAGCCGAGGAGACCAGCCCCGGGGCTCTCATGGCATGCGTGGCTTAGGTGCCTGCCTAGTGACGACATGGCAACGGAACCGCACTAGAATCAAGGTGGGAAGACCCTCGTGGCATTGCGATCCATGAAGCGGCAGCAAGGGCCGGCCCGGTGTTTTTTTCCGATAGCTTAAAGTTTCGAGATCTTGTTTGGAAGGTATGGGATATGAATCGGCGGGATCCGAGGCCTAGCAGTAGCAACCCTAGCGATTCACAGATACGATGTGATGGTCCTGTGGTACCGGCCTGTCGTGGTTGTGACAGGTCTCGCGTAGAATCCGTAAGTGTAGATGGGAAGCTGATTCGCGATTCCTTGCGTATGTTTGGGGATCTAGTTCATTATTGCGTGGACCGCGATCATGGGAGCTGTTACTCTGGCACGACGACGGCATTCATCCTACACGACAGTGTTGTCTTTTCGAGTGGCAGCATGATTTCTCATTACATGACTCCGTCTCTGTTAATCGGGAGACACTCCAACCTCACGGCATGGGTCGAAGTATTATGGCCTTCGAACGGTTGCTCACTGAGACGTTTAGAGGGGATCACAGCGGTCAAGGATGTAGGTTTGACGGACATATAAACGTCCTAAGGCCGATTATGGCAATGGTTTTGCTTTACCCACTCTGTCCTGTCAACTTCAAACCGGCGGCAATATGTATTTACGTCAATTTAGGGAAGCAGAGCACTGAGTTAAATAGTATTGAGCTGGCCCTGATTCCCTTGACTCTGTCTATGAAAAACGGCGAAATAAAGCAGAATTAGAGAGGGATTGAAGACGGATGTCTTGACGCCATCTAGAAGTTGATGGCATAATAGCAGAAAAGTGGAAACCTAGGTATAGACTTGGAAAGAGGAAAGCAAAAAGCAGAACCAGCAGCTAACACGAACACTTCCACCCCCCCACGAGCCACTATGACGACTGTTGACTCGAAGACACCTCCGGACGCAACCAGTCAAACGTATCAAGCAAATCAAAGTTGAAATCAAGCTGCGTAGAGAAATCCCAGTCCATGGGGATATCCAGCATTGCCCCGGACAACCCGCCGTCGACGGCAGACGAGGCCGACGCCGCGTGGCTGTTGAGCGCCTGGTCGAGGACGCGCTGGATGATGACCTTGCAGTCGGCGCAGAGGTCGCCGTTGGGCGCTGTGGGGCTGACCCAGTCCAGGAAGCCGACGAGGAGGCTCAGCTTCTGGATGATGCTCGAGCGGGAGACCTGGGGGTTCTGCGGGTGGTGGCCGCCGTGGAGGGTGGGTTTTAGGAGCTCCATGCAGAGGATGCCGCCTCCGGGAGCCGCGTAGGCCATTACCTAGTTGAATGCGTAAGTCTTCGTCGTGTTTGTTCCCAAGGGCAAGATGTGTTGAAAGCGGCAGGGTGGTTCCGGGGGGTCGAATACGTACGAGCCATTCAAAATCACCATTCATGCAAGATAGACGATCCATGTTTGTCCAGAACATGAGGGTCTTGGAAACCATTTCGAAGCTGACAGATAGCAAGGCGCCGTCATCGTGGCCTCTTTTCGCGAGCAGCCGCTCGATGAAGAACATGTTTTGGAGGTGTTCCAGCTTCATGATAAGTCGAGTGTACAGCAACGAGATATCGAGCTTCCTGTTCTGTATGTCTTCTTCTTTCAGGGTCATGATATCAGGGAACCCGGCAACGGTACGGAGCTGCCTTTCTTTGATTTCCCTGCACAACGCAAATTAGCGACACATTCATGTCTTTGAATGATTTCATAGAGCAAGTAGCACCCGAGTCACTTACAGCAGCGTCTCAACCAGCGTCACGGAACCCTGTCCGAGCGCGATCTCGAATATTTCGTCCCGAATGTGTGCCAGCATCACCCGAGCCCGAACGATGGTGGCCGAGTAGAGCTCGCCCTCAGTGTTCCAGCCGTTCTCATCGAGCGCGGCCACGTGACGCGCCAGCGAAGCCTCGTCGGAGAGGAGGTGGTCGTCCTTTAGGTCCAGAGGCGGTGGTGTGCGCGCGTATCGGCGGCTGATGAGGGGCGGCCGGCCGGCGAACGAGGCTAGGACCTTGTCTACGTAGAAGACGTAGCTGAAGAGCTTACGCTTGATCTCGGAGCAGACGGTCGGCTTGTAGCCTACCCCCGGCGCTGCTGCGACTTCGTCGTGGAACCCGAGGAACGTTGATAGAGCTACTGTCTCTGCGTGTAGTTGCCAACAGGCGAAGCCTAAGACGAAGCGTTAGTAGACATCCACGCCGAGATTAAGAACGTTGTTCCATTCTATAAGCAGAGATGAGAACAAAGTTCTAGTGTACAAGTAAAGACACGACTTACTAGCATCACCCGAGAAGAGCGACTCGATGATGGTCCGCTTCGAACACATGAAAAGGAGTAACGTATTTCCCCCACTACCGGCGGCCTTGGTCAACTCTATACACGCACCAAGACAGTACCGATACTGCATGACCACCTTCGTCCCTTCATCAACGCACTGAAACCGGGAGCCAACGTCAGGCCGGTACGGCCCGAGATAGCGAGCCGCCAGCTCCCAGTACGCAAACATCACGCCCAACGACTCCCACCGCAGATTAGTGCCGGTGAACTGCGCCATCCACTTGGCCGGCTCCGACTCCTCGTCAGAAACGCACTTTGCGGTGTTTCCACAGATGGTGCGGGCGAGCGCGGTGAGCTGGGCATCATCTGGCCGTTGTCCCTGTTCGTTTGCCGGAAAGTACTGCGGGAGCGTGTCGTACAGCGAAATCATCATGTGTTTTGCCGCCAGGCGGATCCACCCATCGCTCGGGTTCAAGTGGCTGTCGAACAGCTTGAGTCCCGTTTCGCGGTCCGGGACGTGGCGGAGGATAGTCAGGCACGTCTCGAGCGCTTGCGCCGTTAGGGGCGGAGAGCACTCGAGCCCGCAGTAGGCGGTGGTCCCGATCTCTCCGATGGGCGCCGCACTGGACGGCTGGAGCTGCTTCAGACTTGACCGGGTCTCTTCGTAGATGCCGCAGAAGGAGGTGAAGCCGAGATAGCCGATGCCGAGGACGGCCGGAGTGGCTACCGTGCTGGCCGAGTCCGGGCTAGTGGGGAGACTCGCGGGAATCGAGGGGCGGTGCCGGGTCGTGGATGTCGCGGGCGATAACGTTGTGGCTGTCGCCGTTGATGCCGTCCGCGAAACCGCTGTTGGTCTTGGACTTAATTGCGATATTGGTATGACGGTGGGCTGGAAGGTCGAAGTCAGGGGAAGAGAAGGCGCTCTCGAAGCACGACGTTGTTCCCGCGGCCGGGTCTGCCTTGGAGCTTCTCTTGATGTTGCTGGACTGTCACCGAGGATGTACTCGCACACCTCCCCGGGACGCTTCGACTTTCTGCATCTGTTGCATATCGGTTGGGCGTGGTCGCAAGCGACTTTGCGCTTTCGGCACGGCTCACACGCCTGCGGCCGCCCGTTCTTTCGGAGTAAGAGCCGGGGTGGTGTTTGCGTTGAATCCATATGGGGCGTAGACATGAATTCTTTCTCTTCACTCAGGCGATCGAAAGCCCACAATGTTCCCCGTATTACAAGGTTGAATGTTTCGTAAGAGAAACTTTCGGGAAGTGAATTGGAAATTCTCATCAACAACACGGCATCAGCTCGACTGTTGACCGCGTGAAGTTGGTGATGTGAGGTCTCGGCTTCGGCTTCGGAGGCACGGGCGGTTGGAGTCGGCTTCGGAAGTGGATCGTGTCAGCCCGTTGGTCCCCACCTTCTCAAGCCGTCGCGCGATTACTAAATTCTCATCTTTTGACTCCTCCAAGACCTCCACCCTCTAGCCCGACTCGACTGACCGAACAACGATCAAACCTGAAGTTGAGAGTGACTGGTCGTGCAGGTCTAGCCCAAAACGACTGGCCGTGCAAGCCTCTTCGCCAAGGGCTTCACCAACCGAACGATGCACCTTTCAGCCCCGAGGATTGGGAACGAAGCGTGATTGGTTTTAGGAATCTCCCTCCTAGGTCGGAGAGCCGGCGGGCACCTCCACTTCGGCAGCGATCCCCCCGTCTTACCCCCCGTCGAAAACAGACACTAGCACTGACAAGACTTGGACCAATGTGAACTTTTTTGGCCTACGACTCACAACCGCGCCCTTTGACATGATGCCATGTACATTGGACGTGCATTCGTGCCATTGAGTGAGTCAAATGGGGACTGGCCTTGCCGAAGCCGCGTTTGCATTGGAAATCAAACATCAGGCTCGTGATGTATAAAAGACGTGGCCCACGACCTCCTTCCCGGGGTCTTGGATTAGCAAGCACATCAAGCACGACATTGACTAAATTACAAATCCATTGACGATACCTCAAAGAACCATCAAGTCAACTACCTCTCCATTCTACTACTACTACTCCCCTTCTTCCACATGAGTTCCATCGAATCTCAGCAATACCTCAAGGCCATCCTCAGGGACAAGACAGACAACAGCAAGACAAGCAACAACAAGAACAACAACAACGACACGATGTCTGGCTCCTTCTACGAATCAGCTTTTGTGATCCCTCACATGCAGGCTTCTGCCATGCCTCGTAGGCCTCGCCAGCCTGCTCCGGCACCGCGAGCAACTGTCGGCGCCATGTCCTCAGAGTCAACCCTTGTTGACAAGGACGGCGTTCCTGTGATGTCCAAGGAGAAGAACGAAGCCAATGGCGACATCTCTGGTAAGTCGTCTCACTTATTGCCGTCTATCCTCCCTCGAGCCCTCCCCCTATCTCATTACCATCGGGCTCGTATGGTCTGCCGGCTATTTTGATCGTGAACGCCTGGCCTCCATAACTCTCTCTAGGACTTAGTTTTCTAACGTGGGCTTCTACAGGTTCATCATCATCGAGCAAGAATCTACTCAAGCGTCTTTTGAAGAAGGCTTGAGTTGTGTTTGCAGATACAAAAGACTCAATTGATCAAACAATTAGAGCTCTACTACATCACATTGGACTTCGGAGCCCTGGGCTGGCGTCAGCCTCCTGCTGATCCTTCTACCCTAATACGGCGACTACTGCGAATCACTTGAGCACTTATACCCATAACGGGCGCATGGCTGCAGTCTTACATCGGACCGGATGTATACACGTTCTTGCCAAGCCTGGTTTCCATCAGATGACCAACCGCACTTGCGCAGTTACCAGGTTCATTTGGCCAATAGTACGACAATGCATCGATCCTGCACCGCGACTTAGTACTCGTTCAAACACTTACACTCTTTTAATTATAACCGGAGATCCAATCCTTTGCAGTTGGGAGAGTACACGTTGGCTTGGGGGCGAGTCGGTTTGGAATTGCCTCATTCTGTCCCATAAACTTTCGAGGACGCGGAGGACAGGGTTGAGCTGAGCGTACGCGAACACTGCGGCTCTTGATGGATAATATGACACTTGGAGATGAAATTCGGCCTGCAACAAGCTTTTTGAGTCGGAAAGACCACAAGGGTTGGTTTGGCTTGAGCCTCTAAGGCCAGAGTTTTCACATAACGCCTCGCAACCTCTACGACTGCAGCTTGTTTTCCATGGTAGTTTAGACTTCTGCAAAATCAGAAAACAGAAAGCGGAGAAATCTCTTACATTTATTCATTCAAACCCTATGAGGGTTACAAAACGTGAAATCTTTTGAGTTGCAGCACACAGTCCTGGGTGTCATTTACTCAGTGCCTTGGGCACATCGCGTGTCAACCTCTTCAACAACCGCTTGAGTGTCTGATCAGTCGCCCAAGACTTTGGCCCACGTCCATCATGATCTGTCAGGCCATCTTGCTACCTATCCTGGGCATGGCGTCGCTATTCAGCGTCGCACTTGCCCAAGCATCTCAACGTTCTTCTCTGGATACTACAAGGGACCCCCTCAACTGGTGCGGCCAGGATGAGAAGGTTCATGCGTTAGGAAGAGAGGACGGCTTGGCCGCTCTTGAGGCACTCTCTAAGCGCTCGTTTGACACAGAACAAGCTTCGATTCACATACCTGTTAATGTCTTCCTGGTCGGAACGGAAGAACAGCGAAACTCGGTCAAATACGTAAGAATCCTGCCACTTGCTCATCTGAAAAACAACAGCTTCAGGTCACATGCACTGACTCGGGATACTTACATAGAAAACCGAAATCCGTTACATTGGAACCACCCTCAACGAAGGCTACGCCAAGCACGGCATCACCTTCGGCCCCATTGAGACATACGAGGTCGCCAACGACACATACGCCAACATGAACTACATGGAGCACCGACATGGCAAGACCCGGGAAATGCAGAGAGCGCTTCGCATCGGCGGACCCGAGACGTTGAATCTGTACATTGTGCCGAAATTGGATACGGGCCTCCTCGGATACGCCGCCTTTCCCGACTTATTGACAAACCCTTTCAGTATCGTGGGAGCGACAGGGACGTGGTTCGACGGGGACGCCGTTGTCATCGGCCACAGCGCTCTTGATGGCACTCTGTTCGCAAAGGCTGTGATCCACGAAACGGGACACTGGTTGGGGCTCTACCACCCGTTCCAGGGCTCCTGCAAGGTCCCCAACGGCGACTACATCCCGGATACGCCGCAGTCGCGGCACGAGAACTACGCGTGTAAGGCCAAGGACACGTGTCCCGATTTCCCGGGCGAAGATCTGGTCTGGAATTATATGGCGTACTCGGCGTGGTAAGTTGGACCTTTGCTGTGGGAGCTACGTACGTGATGAAACGGTGATGCTGATGGCAAATGCAGTGACAAGAACTTATCTTTCACCCCAGGCCAAGCGTAAGTGGAAACAAGCAACATCTCTATGCCCTCAATATTTGGCTAACATACTGTGTCGCAGCCTTTTCATGCGTCAATCTTGGTACAGTTTCCGCGACCCCAAGACCAGAGACCTTCCCGCGGAATCGCAAGTCCCTTATCGAACGACACCTAATAAGGACATGATTGTCCATTCAAGATTCGGGAATGCGTAGTTCTTCCGAGCCTCACAAAGGTGTGTGACAGTGCGGCCAACATCTGAAGTCTGGGGGATCAGTTTCGACAAACGGTATGGAAATCAAGTGTGCGGAAAGGGCTATAATGATGATGGCCTAGGGGTCTCTCTTTCTTGAACAAGCCTTGCTAGGAAGTACACGAATCCAAGCATTGTCCAAAACTGAGAACTAGACATAGTCTGACATGAGGCTATTCATATCGACTTCGGTCACACGCTGCGCTTCTGTTTGTTCTTCACATATTACTCTTTAATCAAGGGTACATCTAAGTTCGGTAACGTGAGCCTTGGTCCGCTATGCCATGTAGCCCCACTCCGGCTCCGGCCTAGATCCGCGTGCCGGAGCGACATCGGAGGTAGCCTCAAATTCACAATCGCTTCAGAACCATGTCTTTTTTTTCATCTTCTTTTGCCTTTTGACAAATGATGCGGTTCCTATCCAAGACCATCTCCGCTGTCTTTGGGTACGAATGGATGAACTGTTGGCGACATCCACTTAAACAACACGAACGTCTCGGGGCCTTGATCTGGACCGGGCTTGTGTCTGGCCAGCGGAACTATGTCTCCAAGTGGTGGACTTTAAGAGCGTACCACTTGGAGAGATTGAACCCCCTTTCTGTAACAACAAGATACTCACGATACTATACCTCTGTCTGTAGGGGCAAAATATCACTGAAGATTGAAGAGCTCATATGAGCAGACCTTACAGAAAATCGGCTTCAGTCGATGATTGCACATAGGTTTTTTGTGTCATAGTGTAGTTGCTCCACATGCCTTGGATACGTTTTGAACCTCGGAGATTACACTGTAGCTATTGTTGTACTCAAGCCATGCCATCATTTAATTCAAATGAACGAGAAGCAAACAAGCCAAACTGACATGTACGCCTTTTGGCGGGTTGTGACAGTTGTGACGAGGATTTCCCGCAGTGGTGGCGGGATCGCCAGTGCAGGCAAGGGCGTGGCTCTAACAAGACCTGGGGACTTGTTAACCCCGCTGTAGGATGTCCCACTCAGCCCCGCGAATCTGCTTTGAGGCCCCCCCACGTCAAGTCGAGTCTTTTTCAGCTTCACTTGCATCTAATACCTCAGATAGCCAGTTTTCTCATTTCTCATAAGGATTCAAAAGTCAAATTCTCGGTCATTTTCAGAGGGTCTGAGTGTTGGTGTCCTAGCTGAAACGCAGGTCACTGAGTTACTCACCACTGCCATCTCATCTCACCCGCCTGAGGAGCAGCCTACATTTCACCTACAAACTCATCCTTCATCGTCACTCTATCACTTTCACCCGCGCAGTCTGACATGGCTGACCTCGTTGTGACCCAACACGGGTCCGAGAAGGAAATCAAGTTCGCTTCCTCGACACCCGCCCAGCGTGAGGCCGCATGGCGCCTCAACGGCGTCTCATGGGCCCCTCCAATGTCCCTTGAGAACTACATGGCCCGCGAAGTCGCACTGTCCAAGACGGCCCTTTCATCTCAGTGCAACTACTATGTCCTCTTCAACCCGGCCGACCCAGAGCACATCATCTCATCCTGCGAAGCAACCGCCAAGACCCTCCTCGTCCGCGATGCCTCCTCTTTAACACCCCGCGAGGAAAAGGCCTACGCCATCGCCTCCGTTTACACTAACCCGGCCTACCGCAGCCACGGCATGGCAACGCGGCTACTGAACAGCCTAAAGGAAGCCATGGACGCCGACTCCAAGGCAAGCGCGCTCTACAGCGACATTGGCCTCACATACTACGCCCGCCTCGGCTGGGCCGTCTACCCGTCCCTCCAAGTCTCCCTCATCCCGGACGACGCTTCAGCCCTGCGCAAGCCAGACGGTGTACAATACCTGGAGGAAAGCGATGTCCCCGCCTACTGCGAAAAGGACGTCGAGCTCTTGAAGAAGAAGCTCGCGAACCTGCCCCAGGACGGAAAGACGCACGTCGCCTTCGCTCCCTCGGCCGACCAGATGCTTTGGCACTTTACTCGGGACGGCTTCATGGCCAAGCAGCTCGCCGGCCGCGAGGTGACGCACCGCGGGGCGGCTACCGTTGACGGCAAGGCGTGGGTGTACTGGGACCACGACTTCCGCGAGAAGAAGCTCAAGGTCCTCCGCGTGGCTGGCGACCCGGAGGCGGACGTGACTGCGCTGCTGCAGGCCGCGGTGATTGAGGCCGCCGAATGGGGGCTCGCCAAGGTGCTGGTCTGGAACCCTGATGAGGGCGTCTCGGCTTCGGCGAAGAGGGTGAGTGACAGGACGGAGGGCGCCGTGCGGGTCGTCTTTGACGAGAGGCTTGATGGCAGCATCCCCAGTCTGCGGTGGAAGGGTGAAGGAGAGGTCGTGTGGGAGGATAATGAGTACTATGCGTGGTGCTAGATGGCTAAGTATGGAAGAGCGTATTCTTGATGAGCTCATTAAGTTACGGTTTCTCCATAAATACTCAAGAATTTCGGATATCAACACAGAAACCATTCTATTCTTCCATCTCTTGCAAAGCCAACGCTTTGATCAAACCCACAAATCCGATCTCAATGGCATCCGTCATCCCATCAGCAACCAAGTCCTGATTCTCTGAGAACGAATTCTTCCATCGCCCTCCCTTACCAAAATACGCATCAACAAGAGGGAAAGACAAGCTTTTCAAATTTCCCTCTCCATCTGGCCCCTCATCGCGATAATCTCCGAGCATCGCAGCTACGAGCTCCTCTATCTCGCCACAAAACATCTCTGCCGTCCCTGGCTTAATTGCTTCTTGCACGTCGACCCATACAGCCTCCCGCTGCGCAAATGTTAGTTGCGAGCCAAGCTCCTCGTCTTTCTCAAAGACTAGCAACGCCAACTTGCCCTCTAGCCGCTTCTTCCTGTCGAGGGGGAGATGAATGTCGACAATGTCAATGTGCCGCTGGATCTGCTCTCGCATGCTGTTCATCGACCAGGTGGCCGCTGTCCACTTTCCGACCGCAGCAACCCACCGTCTGATATCAGTTTCTGAAAAAGATGACTGATTTCTGACCGGTGCTTCTCGGGCGGCTCCTTTCGCTGCGACGAGTATCTTATTTATGACTTGCGTGAGGGCAATGCCAATGACAGCGTATCGTACTTCCCGCCAGACCGTCTTCCACAAAAGGTTCCTGATTGTGTCCGAGATCGTCCGCTCAGCGTTGATTTCTAGCATCAGCACGTGGTGCATCGCGTCCGTCGTCGTAAGTCATGGGTGAACATCGAACTTATCATCGCGATTCACGACATCATCCATTCTTGCAAAGTTGTCGTTGAACGGATGAATGAGTGTCACGTTGACAGGCGACCCCTTCCAACTCTTCGCCATGCGTATAAATTTACCGACAATGGCAAACTCCTGCTCACCGACGGATCCGATAGTGATGTAGATCATGCAACCTCCGAGAACCGTCGTAAGGTAGAGAAAGAACTTCCAGAGAGACACCACATTGTTGTTGGCCTCCTTGAACTGCTCTAAGTCAATCCCGGCATCAATCATGACCTCTGTCTTCTGGACTAGTATCTGGTCCACGAGTGACGCTATCGCTGACTGTGCTGTCATCGAACGTGTCCAGATTAAGTACGCCGACGGGACATGTGACGCAAACTTGCGCTGTTGCTTCTTCCAGACCAAGGCGTGCTGCGGGTCCGGGGCGTCGCACTCTGCCTGTATAACTTTTGTCTCGTGGGAGTATCCCGAGGGAACGTATTTCTGCTCCATGCTGAACCATTCGATCCACGCTTTCGACGTGGTGACCTCGTATGTGGCTTGCAGCTCCTGGTGGAATCCGGCCTGGACTTCGAAACTCTTGAATAAGTTCTTCCGTATCGCTCTGAAACGGTCGGCTTTAGGGTTTTCGGCGACGGCTAGAACAAATCAGCAGGATATCTTCGTTCCCACAACGTCACCTTGCATACATTTGAAAGCCTGGTGCATCGTATGCCTTTGAAGCGGCAGTACATTCCGGTATCTGTCTCTGGCGTGGTTTACCATTGCCTGCCTGACATGGAAACATAGCTCTGCGTCCTCGCGAATGTCTCGTTGTGTCTTTTTCATCTTTGCCACTAGTTCTCCATATCTGACCTCAAAGGGCTGTAGAAAGGTCGCCATCACGCGCTCTGTACTTTGGTTAGTAGACGGAAAGTCATCTATAGTACTAGCTTAACAATATACTTAAAATATTCTTCTCTGCATTCTTCGCATCTCTTATGACCTTTTCCAGAAACTCAACGATCGCCGCATATAGTTCGGACGAGAACTCGAGCATTCGGGGAGTCGGATACAGCGCAATGTACCCTCGTATCCTTTCCAGGTCCCGCCCAATGTCAATCATCACATCGATGACTTTAGAGAGAACGCTCGAGTTGTTCTTCGTCACCTATCATCCGGTGAATAGATTGTCATCTGATGAGTCTTGAATGCCTACCAGGAGTACAAACTTCAGACCGCCCCAGATCAACGGTAGGCCTGAGAACTCTGCTTGTGACAGAATATCAAAGACTCCCTGGTAATGATCCAAGCACTCGATAAGTTTCTTCGTCTTTCCCTCCCCTAGCTTCGCCTTTTTAGTCCGTTGTATATCCCAAGCAATCCGATGAAGATCTGCTTTGGGGTCACTCTGCTTCCCAATGGTGCTTTTTGATAGAACTGCGGCAACTTTGTCCTTATTGAGATGAGAGTGAAGTGAATGTATAGCGTTTCTGTATGCTACCTCGGCTTTTCTGTGATGTCTCTCAGCCAGTACTCCTTACGAGACCGCCGACAACAATGCAGTTCTTCTGCCCGAAGAGCCCGAGTCTCCATCAGATAGCCGTTTCCTCGGAGCAAACTTACTCGAATGTCATGCGATCAACTACTCTCTCGTCTTCTGTCGCGTCATCAGAGAATCGCCGAAAGACCTCGTTCTGGGGTTTCCAGCCTATGATCGGACTAGATGCACTCTTCGGGCTTCCATCGTCACGACTCCAAGACGGCGTCCGAAACACAACGCTGGTGTTCAAGAAGGGAAGTCGGTGCATGGTTCTGGAGCATGTCGGCGAGGCTTGAGAACCAGTCTACAAATATAGCGAAAGCTTTTCAAGAGGATGACAGATTAGCGGCGTACTGTGAATTTGGTGCCTTCACTGCTTATCCATCTCGTATTCAATAGCTGAAATTCCATCCAGAGTTTTGTTTCTTTTGAAGATCATCGGCGAGAGACTCGATACGATGAAACCTCAATCTCCTTTACACCAGGTTCAATAGCAGAGTACCCACATGACTGTTCAGGGGGCATCTCGGAGACCTTGGCAGAGCCCTCCGACTGCAGATATCTCCCTCTGCAGAACCTGGGGCATCACACAACGAGGGGTGTGAGACAGAAAGGAGAAAGTGAGCGTATGCAATATTGCTTGTTTGCCCGAGGCCGCCAATCAGTGTGAGCGCAGCTTCCGCGCTTTCCATGGTGGCGCCGGCTTGTGTCACAAACAGGAAACATGCCTTTTCGTGCTAAACTGGTACTCTTCAACTATTGAGGCCTCTGACCATGGACTATCAGCGGTCTAGACGCAATATGGGACTCAAGCTGAGGCCATACGCCCAGCTAAGGACTGATGGTGTTACAGTTACCATCGTTCACAAAGGATCTTGGAGACGAGCTCCAATGCCTCTACTGTAACGCATTTGTAACCTAGGATACAAGCCAAGTGTGAAGAGTGTGATGCAAAGGGCCACTGTTAACACGACACGCAAGGATGCAGATATTGCCGAGTATAGGTTAGCTCAGCAAGTGGGTGACAGAATACGATGTCGGTCAAGGCAGCACTTCGCCGCCAGCATCCTCAAAACTAGTACCATAGCAACGATCATCGTACTAAGCTTTTCGAAGCGTACTCCTCAAGAAATATGGAGAATACATAAAGTCATAATAGTGATGGTATCAGTAGCAGTATTAGGCACGGTAGAAAGAGAGATAAGGTATTAAGCGGTAATATACTGTGTAACCCACTTGCTCAGCTCTCTAGCCACACGACTTCTACCTGATTTATTGAATGTACAAGATTGACTAGCGCACATACCAACCGAAACAAACCCATGAATAAAGCGAATTCCGCTGTTGGACTGGTGTCAGCATTCTTAAAGCATAGATGTGCCAGCAGGGAGGCCTGGAAGGCGATGACAAGACTCAAACCAACAATCCCGAAAGGGCATTGGCCAACTCAAATAATGAAGCACTTTGGACACAAAGTTACGCCATTGATGCTACGCGCAGAGATCTTACTCAACAACAGGCAATGCTCTCTATGTCGACAAGCCCGCTCAGGTAAGCGAGGCAAATGGACAGAAGTCATAGAAGGAGGTAACGATCGAAAACTGGCCCCGAGTCCGAGGAGGAATCCCGAGAATAGAGCTTATTTTAGCCTGTGCACCAAGTGGGTCATGCGGACCGGAGCCACGCCGTGCCCGGCCCCGTTTCCAGACTGATGGGCCAGTGACAGGCCGAGAGATGGACCCTGAATACGGGGGGATGCAGCAAAGCGGAGCACCACGTGACTTTATCGCAGCGATAAGGTAAGGTTGCCATCAAGGTGGTCCGTCACAGGGGTTCGAGTCCCGGTTGCGATTTTGGGATCCAGAGAAATTAAGGGAAAGAATTGTTCGACTCGACGTTTACTTCAAGCAAAAAAAGAGGCTACGTCTCACAAACATCACGGTCTATGACCTAGGAACGACCTATATCTCGCCCTTTGCCCTCCGGCACCTCCAGTCAAACCATGTCGATACGCCGTCCCAGCGCAAGGTCCCGGGCGGACCGCGACAACACGAGTCTTCTTGCCCCCGATACGTACGACGACGACGCCTCATCCATCCACAGCACGCGAAGCGACCAGGACAGCGACAGTGACGATGACCAGTTGCAATTGCGTGCGCGGAACAGCCGCGAGCTGCGCGCCGCCGACAGCCTAGTTTTCATGGAAGAAGAGGAGATCGAAAACCTCGTCGAGGAGACTCGCAAGAAAAAGGAGCTACAACGCCGAGGATCTGGCCTCGCCGTCCCGAACCCACTGAAGTTATTTGGCCGAGGCCCAGACGGCCAACGGCCCGGATCCCGAGACGGCTCATCCGAGAATCTACTCGACGAAAAGGACAGACGCCAACAGCGACGTATGAGGAGGAAACAGAAAAAGGACCGGCTGCTGGAGAAGGCGACCCACGGCGAGGACGGCGAGCTGATGTACGAGATGGAAGAAGGGGCCATGAAGGAGGGAAGCTCGACTGGTGAAAGCAGCGAAAGGGACGATAGCGACGAACTCGATCGACAGAGACTCAAGATTGTGACCAATGCGAAGAGCGACAAGAGGAGGACCTGGCGCCGTTGGCTAGTCATACACAGTATGATTGCTGTCGGTTTCGCGATCCTCTTTCTGGTGGCGTGGAAGTTGTCAATCGGCAGTAGGTCGGCACACAAGGCCGAGTTCGTCAGCAATGGCACGGCGCTCTTCGCGCCGACGACGATCATTATCAGTCTCGATGGTTTCCGCGCCGACTTTTTGCAGCGCGGGATTACGCCGAGGCTGAACGCTTTTGTGAAGGAGGGTGTCTCACCGAAATACATGCTTCCGGCCTTCCCGTCAGTCACGTTCCCGAATCACTACACACTGGCGACTGGTCTTCATCCCGAGAGCCACGGTATCGTTGGAAACACGTTCTGGGATCCGGACATGCAGGCCGAGTTCTACTACACCGATCCGGCGCGCAGTCTCGATGCGAAGTGGTGGAGTGGAGAGCCGTTCTGGGTGACAGCCGAGAGACAGGGTATCCGTTCTGCGATCCACATGTGGCCCGGAAGTGAAGCGCACATCCTCGGTGTTGAGCCAACGTTCCTCGACAAGTTCAACGGGAAAGAAGTACTCGACAACAAGGTCAGCAGGATCCTCGAGTTTCTTGACAAGCCGGGCATGGAAGACAAGACAGCCAGGGTGGAAGACATGCGGCCACAGCTCATCGCTGCCTATGTCCCCAACGTCGACGCGGATGGCCATAGATACGGGCCGAACAGCACGGAGATCCGGGTCTCCATTGAGTCGGCCGACGCTATGATGGACCAGCTCTTCCTGGCTCTCGAGCAGCGCAATTTGACCAACATTGTCAATGTCATCGTCGTATCTGATCACGGCATGGCCACAACAGATACGGCGCGCCTGCTACAGCTTGAGGATCTTGTCGACACCTCCAAGATTGAACACACCGACGGCTGGCCGCTGTACGGTCTCCGGCCGAAGAACCCAGACGACCTTCAGGGGCTGTACGACGGCTTGGTTGAGAAGTCGAAGACGAACCCCAACTTTGAGGTCTACCTCCGCGACGTCAACATGCCCGAGCGCTACCACTTTTCCAAGAATAAGCGTATTGCACCCCTGTGGATCGTGCCCAAGGCTGGATGGGCCATCGTCACGAAGGAAGAGATGGATGTGGAGAAGGCGCTGAAGGATGGCACGGTCTATAACCCCCGCGGATTGCATGGGTACGATCACGAGCATCCCCTCATGCGCGCCATCTTCATCGCCCGCGGACCGGCTTTCCCTCATCCGCCAAACAGCCAGATCGACAACTTCCGTAAGTGTGCTCCGCGAGTGTCATGTCATACTATGAGTCCGGACTAACGTCAGTAGAAAACATCAACGTGTACAACATCCTGTGCGATTCCGTCGGTCTCATCCCAGAGCCCAACAACGGCACTCTGCGCCTACCGCTCACCACTATGGGCACTCACAAGTCCGAGGACACGCCCCCAGAGCCCGAGGACCCTGTGCCTCCGTACACCACAACCCAGGTCCCCGCTCCTGCCAGCACACCACCAGCGGGACAGTCGGCTACCCCTGATAAGTCCATACAGGTGGATCCCGTTCCCCAGCCGACGCCTTCCGCGCCGGCGTCGAACGATGACGAGAAAGGAGATGATGAAGAGAGCGAGGGAGCCGATGAAGACGCCATGCAGAAGGGCAAGGAAGCCATGATTGGAGTTTGGGATTGGCTCAAGGATAAGTTTGGAAAGGTTTGGGACAAGATCAAGGGATCAAAGGGGGATAAGGAATCGGAAGAGAAGGAGGGATCGGAATGATTTCCTGTGTAGAATTGGGTACATGATTTGGCGTTCATGGGTGGGAGGCATATTTTGGTTTTCTTTTGATACTCCTGGCGATTCTCTGTATTTTCTATAGACTGAAACCCCCAAGGTTGCTTTTTCATCTTGATCGCCTGTCCTGACCTTCGACCCTTGTCAATTGGCCTGCTTCGCCTGTTGATAGCTGCTGCTGGGAAAACCTCGATGCTGCCTCAACTCTCTGGCAACCAAAATCAGCCCAGACGCGAGAGCGGAAACCTCCGGTATGCAGTCGAATAAACCAGCCCGGAAAAATGAATTCGTCAGCAGGACAGGTCTCCACGAGAGGGCCCATGCTCAGTGTGCAGCTTGTAGCAGGCTCTAGTTCATCCGACTCGCTCTTCGCTTCACAACATGACGGTTGTTGACGCAATTATCGGCCTTCTCATAGCCGTAGTCCACGTAGCTGCTGTGGATAGTGTAAGTGGATGATGCTGCTTTGAAGCCATGTTGAGCACTGAAAGTGGCTAGTTTGACCGTGATTAAATCCGGCAGAGTGGCGCCCAGTTCGTCGCATATGAGCATGTCATTTTGTTTAAAGTACGTTGTGGTGAACTTCTGTGCTACCCGGAAGAATTCGATATCTTTGGTTCCCCAATCTTTAATGACGCGGAGTCCGGCTCGAAGAAGCTGGTACGGAATCTCGACCCTGGAATGATCGCCAGGAAACATCTCGACGAGTCCTTCCGATGTCGTTTTGAGGGGTGTGATGATAGCCCACTCATTGCCATCATGCCCATCGATCTTCTGGCTAATATGAAGCCAAGCCTTGGTGTTCTTCTTGACTTCTCGAAATGGATGAGTGCTCGGATGGAAGAGGAAGGCGAGGTATGCTTTTTCCAGTGTCCAGTCTTCCGTCAGCTGGACGGCAACGGTTCTCTCGGTAGCCATGATGATCGTCAATGTTCAGCTTCGGTCTGGTGCGGCTGCAGACTGGTTAGGCTGTGGTGACGGAATAATAACGCTGCAAACTTGCCTCTTCGAAAATGCTGGGGAAGGCAGACTGCTTGTTTCGCAGTTGTTATTTTCGGCAAGAGAATTCTGTGCGATGAGAGAAGTGGGTGGGAGAATTAGAGAGTTGACAGTTTGGAAAAGAGATGTCCTTTTATACTGCCCGGTAAGAGGAATGTGAAGGAAGGAGCTTGAGATCCTGTTGAGGCACTAATAATACCGAAGTGTGGTTCAATAGATTGCGCGGCGAAGGTTAGAAGTGAAGAAGTAAAGTCATTAGAATGACGGAGCTGATGGAGACCACATCACGATGCATATTTCAGAGATGCATCGGTGTAGTATTCGGCAGGAAATTCTGAGTGAAGGACATCTATCTCACTGACCATCCGTATCCTCCACTTGCATGCTTCTTGGTTACCCCGAAAGGTTTGTGGTCACCCCGACTCCAGCGCAGCTTCCTCGCCCGGTCGTGGCTTTTGTCGAGTCTCGGATTGCAAATTAAGGGATAGTACGCGTCTAGCAGCACAGGTTATAACGGAGTTCCATTCGTGTCCAAGAATCAACATTTCTTACCTAGAATATGAATACTGACGTACAACCAAGCACTATGCTAGTCCTTGATAGTAACAGGACCGGCCATCTGCAAGCCATACTCGACAAATTCGCGAGGAATAGCTTGCTTGACACTAGAAGCCGTATAGCCCGAATGCTTGCCAGTGCGGAAGTGAATCTTCTTAACCATGATGATATCGGGCACGTCGATGACAAAGTGGTCGCAAACAGCCATATCGCCGGCCTTGAAGGACTCCTTCTCGGCCTGAGGGGCATTGGTGCTAGTCTTTGTGCTGCCCTTGGGCGTCATGTTGTCAAACTCCGGATCACCGGGTCCATAATCCTTGATAATTCGAATACTGATACGGAGGAACCGGGCCGGAACGCCGACCCCCGCGTCCACCCCAGGGAGTATCTAGGCGACGCTGGTCTCAGTCTGCTGAATAGGCTTGAAGGTGACGAGGGGGTTGTCAAATGGGCCTTGCAGCTTCTAGTTCAGGGCGACAAGGGCCATGTTGCCTGCGGCAGGGCGACGAAAGGGCTTTGTGGTCGGGTGGACGAGGAAAGCGAACCTGGCATTGAATCCGGTCCATTCTTCCTTGATCTGTACGGCTACTCGAGGAGCGATGTCCAAGGTGCTTCCGGGGTGTTTCTCGATAGGGGTTGATTCGGGAGGAGGCTGGTCGGAGGGGGACGACATCTTCAACGCGTTGAAGTCATTGTGAGAGGAGAGCGTTTATGAATGGATGATAGTGTCACTGGATGAGAGATGTGTGTGAGATGAGAACGAGATCTGACTTTGGGGAGCTTTAGTCTATTACTTATGGGAGGAGCTCTTCGATTACTTTACAGCCAGTTCGATATGGAGGAGAAGCAGTCTCACTTGCATTGTCTTGAGTGTCTTGACAAGTGAAATAAAGCTGATTCATCAAGTGCAAACAAAAACAAATCATCAAAGGCTACAAAAAAAGAGTTTACCACCGGTGTGGCTACATCTCTTGGTGCTCATGCTGGGATTCGAACTCGGGTACTCGCTGAGCCTGTCGTCGAGTAGGCTGGTTGGCGTATAATTGATTGTCGACCTTAAACCACTCCACCACCCAGCCAGTTTGACCTGACCCGTCGGCCTAGACGGGCGCCTGCTGGCTGGTGACGGGAATGGGTTTGAGGGGGGTATGAAGGCTTCCTCCTGTGTGTATTCCATTCAAGGTGGTGAAGGTGAGATGTCACGTGTGGAAGGTCCGGTGGTGCCTTGAGGTCAGAGGTCGGTCTATGAGGCATCAAAGATCCCGAGTGAGGTTCGAATTACTTCGATGCGAGCGTAATCAAAGCTGCTCACTGCTGTCACCTTTGACCGCCAACTGCAGAAGAGTAGAGAAAAGCTGCCGCGTCCTGCAAAACAGAGACACTTTAGGCAGGCCTCTGGCATATTGCAAACGCCCTTGATATCGACAGCCGAGAATTATACAGCAAGACACAATCACGTCTTGCAGAGAAGTGCAGGTTCACTGGTCGTAAGTTCTTGGCAATCGCATCTATACCTCAAACTAGTACTACGGTATGGAGGGCCCTTGAAGCCTGGGACCACATTGATTCATCCTGCTCCAGAAAGTGCAAGAGCAATTCCCTGCCTGGCCTGCGAATGTTCTTTGTTCCAACTTCGCCTCTCCTGCTCCTCGAACATCCCATAGAACATACAGTCATTGCCGGCTCTATCGCCGTTAGCTTGCTGCTCTGATTCATCAGCCCGAGAGAGCAGCTTACCAAGACAGACGCAAATCGATGCCATCACCAGTTCCAAATGTTCCGGGGTGACATCAAAGCTTTGGGCCAAAGGTTGGATTCTTCAGTCCGGGCGGAAGCCCATACCTCACAAGGCTAAAAGGAATAAGATAGTGTCTTCTCTGTCTATCGACAGTCCAGCCTGCGCCACAGACTCTGAGAATCATGGGAGGGTGCATGGAGAAGTCCTCGTGCGTGACCATATCGCCCTTCAAGAAGATGCCTACTTCTCCAGGGGGGTACCGGGCGGCTAGAGCATCGTATTCGGGCACTCTAGGCACGAAATCTCGAAGAACAAAGACTTCAGCGCTGAGATAAGAGACCGGAATCTCCACCAGGCGCTCATCATATGGGTGTTCGTAGTCATCCAAAGAGTCCCAATGAATACTCCCGCTTCCATTTGCATCCAAGAGAACCGGTAGAGACGGGTAATAGAGTGCGATGTAGACCCATTCGCGATAGTCGCCGGCTTTCCGGAAAGGTTCTTGTTTTGGAAGCCAGGCAATGGTGTCTTTTTGCAGAACAACGAGTTCTGGAAAGAAAAGGCGACCCGAGCCGTCAAAGTCGTACCTTTTGCGAACCCGATTGATGGGAGTCCAGTCGCGCTTCAAGACCACAACGATACCCCAGGGGAACCCCATTGCGTTGTGTGAGATAAAGTGTTGATTGGTGCGTTCCGGGACGAATTGCTGGAAAGCCTCCAGTATGAAGTGATCATATGCAAGCTGTTTGGATGTAAAGTCTGTTTGGGGATTGGAAGTTGCGGGTAGGCAAGGATGATGTTGTTTACAGGTAGAATACGTGCCGTTGTTGGATGTGTTGTTGTTCGTGAAGATGGGTTTACTGGAGAGAGAATGGGCAGCAGTTCTGTGCAGGGCCTTTCAAGTTCAGCCAAGGAAGTGGCGTTAAGCAAAGACGCACTTTCCTACCAATACTCTTGATACATGACTACTTAGTTAGGAACGACGAAGATGAAGTAGAAGCACAGGCGAGGAAGCATCTGCGTCCACCTCCTGCCTCTTGCTTCTGCTAGAACACCAGAGGCAGCAGCCATCCAAGCATTCTTTCCGAAACACTTCCCTTGAAAGGCCCTGCTGGATCTGACGGCTTTGCTAAACGTCAACATCGCACCATCTATCAGAAGACGCTTCACGACAGGACATCTCAAGATAGACCGAGATTCACTAGTCGTTTACGACTACGCAGACTGGACTGGGGAGCTGATACCAATGTACAAAACCCATGAAGCATCATACTTGCCTACACGACATGTACCCGCCAATGAATCAAGGACGGCTTTAGTGAGACTAGAGCAGTGACTTCGGACTGCCTCTTCCATGAGAAGGTTCAAGTGTCGGCCGCGGAAGATTCTCTCTGATGAAGCTGTGATATGGTATATGACCATGTACTTGTAGGACAGTTTGGATAGCCTGGATAGCGCGCTTCAATCGATTGATAATGGCCGATGCCAAGACCTTAGGTAGCTGAATACCGATCCGACTGGGAATGAGACTAATTGGAGCAATATAATAGCAACGGTGTTGATAGGCTGATGGATTGGACCTCAGATAGAATCGGCAGTCAAATACTCTGGATATGATGCGTCGGAACAGTTGTACCGGCTAATTGATATCTACTAGCTACTTTAGCACGCCTGAATGTAGTGTATGTAATCCCTAGAGACTGGAGACCACAAGAAGACTGCGTGTCGATGCCTAAAGAAGCTAGTAGTTTTGCTGAAGTCCTCGCGGTATCATATAGCTTCTGGGCTGTGGTAGAAGACGGAGGAAGAGGTCAGTTGCTATCCCACAGGAATCTCTGTCCTTACAAGATGGTCTCCAGCCCAAACACGAGCCATGCCAAAGACTCTGAGTAGGGGGGTAGAGTATGCCTGGGAGCTCTCAAAATGATTCCGGCTTGCGGTGCTGAGGAGAGGAACAAATTCAAAAAAAAAAAAAAAAAAAAAAAAAAAAAAAGAAAAAGGAATCAGTCTTTTATCCTTGAACTGCAATCCTATGAACCAAAAACCTCCATCTTTTACATATATCCTCCATCCCCTGATCTTCCGACACCACAGCTCTCCTCTAAAATATTTCAATGACATGACCTCATCCCAAGCTAATCTTGCTACGCAGCCGAAGCGGATGCGTAAGAGTATGGAAGCATAGCCCACGGCAGCACTTGCGCGTGAAAGCGAGGGGCAGATGTCCTCAAATGGGATACCAACTCCTCCGACATGACTTCATGCCTGGAGGGCTTTCTCGCAAGAAACGTAACATATCCACACACGCGGGGATCTAGACACCTCAACAGTATAGACCCCATGATATAGTTATATACCAAATCGGGGGATCTCGAAATCGGTCGATGTAGGAAGTTCCTTTGTAGACTTGCTCTCGTTTCAGAAGACGTACGAGCGGCGGAGGTAGAACATCGTATTCGGAAGATCGACGAACGTCGGTGATACGTGAAATCTTCCATGTCCGGCAGAGCTCTAAAGGGAGTTGTCGATAGACTTAGAGCCCAATGGCATGGCCTGGGGTAGACTGCTTCGAAACTGTGGTCCTTCGACTTGTCCCAAATTTTCTCAAGTCAATTCCTGTCATGTTAATCCAATGAAAGCGGAATAGAAGCAATTTTCGCACTAGAGCAATCTCCAAACCCGCAAAACACCTTGCGACATGCTGGCGCTGCGTTGTCGCCTGCCTCGCGGGTCTTCGTCGGATGACGTTGAGGGATGTCATGTGACTTGCTCTTCGGCCTGGTGGGGCCGGCGGTTTCCGACGTCGTCTGTCGCCACTGCCGTCGTTTCTGTTCCCGATTAGGAAATTTGAAAAATGGCCAGCAGTCGCCGTAAAGAAGATGCTCATCAACCTGGCCAAACTGGCGTGGGATATGGGCTGGTTTAAACAACATTCATGAAGGATGAAAGAGCTTCATCACGTGACGCTGGATTTTTTTCTGTCTCGGAGTTCAGCTCCTCTTATCGCAAGCGCAAAAGAGCATGGAGGGGCATGGCATGGAATACCCCTCATTCTGCTCTCTCTTTTTTTTTTTTTCTTCGTCTCTGTGGCTCGGCGGCGCTTCGTGTGAGGGAGGGGTCTTGCGCATGGGCTGGGGCGGGCGATCGCACTCGTCTTGGTCTTGTTTGGGTCCTGGCGCCCCTCTCCGTGGCCCCCTCCTACGTGTCACTGCACCGCGTTGTCCGTTTATGCTGCTGCTGCTGCGAAATCTGGCCAGCCGTCCGATAGATTCTCACTTTATTTCGGGAGAGAGATGCCAACGCGATGGCAAATATGCATGCAGCCGCGATACTACCTCGCTGTCTGGGAAATTTCGCTCTACGAGAACGCGAGAGGATGAGGATAATTGTCCCTTGACGGGCGGCGCAGGCGCTTAGAACGGGTTGTTTAGGTACCTTTCACCTGCACGTCACCCTTGAAGCCAGGATCTGTCGGACACCCATGTCTTGCCTTTTTTTTTTTTTTTTGCCTCTTCTCTTTCTGAGATCAGATTTTTCCAACCCCGCACCCCGTCAGAAAGCCGCATCAGCCACATTTCTTTTCGGAGTTAATGCACCGACAGTTTATGAGAGAGAGAGAGGACTATAATATGGACCCGCTTGGGTTGGCATTCCCCTTGACCGATGAAAGAATAAGCAACACAAGGAGGATTTACAATGCCCCTCGACGGTCGACAATTCCTACGGAAACCAAAGGCAGACAAGGACCAGCCCCACGGAGGAGCCTTGGTTTTGGAGTGGGATGGACCATGGCGACGGCGACGGCGACCACGGCCCCAAACCAAAATGCTACGAGGAGGGGCCCCAAGCACCCGTGTCACCAAAAAGGTATGCAGGAGAAGGCTGTAGCTGTGCCAGAGGGAAAACTGCCAGATACGTGACTCATGCCGAACGAATGGGTTGGGCACACACTCTGACGGTCTGACGGTCCAAGAGAGAGGGAAAAAAAAAACCTGGGCTTCGTCGAGGGGCAAGGAGGGGCCCAGGTTGGGCTGCGCGGCAACCTACCTTGTGTGTGTCTGACAGGGATTGGGCGGGGTGGAGGGGCAGACCGCAGAGTTCGAAGCTGTGGATGTCTTATCGTTGGCAAAGTAGATCGAGGTCACTCGGAACAAAGCGCTCCCTCTGGTGAAAATTTTTGTGTGTGTGCCAAACGGCGCTGTGTGTCCGTCTGTGTCTGGCCGGTGAGGTATGTGTGGATGGGACGAAAAGAGAGAGGCACCTCTTACTTGAGACGCGGCCGATGGTCTGCCTCAAGGTGGACTCCGACGATGAAAAAAAAGATGAAGTGGCCCGACAACGAGGGGAAAGACTCAGGCAGGTCCATATTGCCCCTCCTCGCCTTCCCAAAAAGAAGGCGGCTAGCTAGTGCCCGAGGGAAAATTTGATCGTGATGAATGCGTTTGTTATTGTTCATTACTTTAGCTGGGCTGGCGATTCGACGAATTGACATCACTGGGATCTGCAGCAATGAGGCCTGGAGCTTCCACGGTGGGGTCTACAGGCCAGGATCGTTTGCAGCGCCCCCCGCGACACAGAGAGCGCGGTGAGAGCTGCAGAGTGCCCCTCCATGCCCCCTTACCTGTGACATCAACATGCCATCCATCCTGTTGCCTCAACTCCTGCTGCCGCAACGGGAGCTGGATATGCGTAAAATATGCTCCTCTGAATTCTAGGCACGATGGATCAAAGTCGGGAATAGTGATTTGGTTGATAGGAACAAACACCAGAAATCGTCTAGGTAGCTGGAACAGTAAAATCATGGATAGCGACGATGAGCTTTACCGCCCGTCGCATGCCTTAGGCGCAGGAAGGAGGCTAAAGGAGGGGTGATACGATACGTACCTGCCTGGAGCGGCCCCGCTTAGTTCGTGCCGTGGCGAGACTGAACCAAGGTACAATGCGCTACTTGTCCGTGAGCCACGATCTGCTAAGAAGCCATCTACAGTTGGAATAAACAACAACCACCCAACCAACCACAAAAAAACTGAGCCTGTGAGTGAAAAATTCTACCTTAGGGCAATTCGTTCAGGCAAGAGCCTTTGACCCCACCTTCCTGCCTTTCCATCCCTGCAGACTTTGGCGGACTAGCCCACTCCCCCTCCCACCTCTACTCAACCCACTTCGACCCTCTCACATTCCCACTCCACCACCCAACTTTTCCACTCACAAACATACAAAAGCCTCGCTCGCCCACCAAAGCAAAGCTTTTCTCTCCTTCTTCTGCTCTTCGTCGTACATACCGAATCCAAATTTACGGATCACCTGTGCAGTGAGTATTTCTTCTACCGCACTTGGCTCTAGTCTCTCCGAAATATCATCACTGACTTCTCACCCTCACCCAGCTTTTACCTTTCAAACACACAACTCGATCACATCCCACCGCCAAAATGGGTAAGGAAGAGAAGAACCACATCAACGTCGTCGTTATCGGCCACGTCGATTCCGGCAAGTCGACCACCACTGGTCACTTGATCTACCAGTGCGGTGGTATCGACAAGCGTACCATCGAGAAGTTCGAGAAGGAGGGTAAGCATACTCCCATTATCACTCCACCGTGCTGAATTAGTAACTAACGCTCTCAAAGCTGCTGAGCTCGGAAAGGGCTCTTTCAAGTACGCGTGGGTTCTTGACAAGCTCAAGGCCGAGCGTGAGCGTGGTATCACCATCGACATTGCCCTCTGGAAGTTCGAGACTCCCAAGTACTATGTCACCGTCATTGGTATGTTTTTTTAACTCCTTCCAGCTCTCTGAGAGCCGCTCCTGCCTCGTGCTCTCATTGGACAAAAGAAGCACAAACTTTTTCTCGAATTAGTTCTGACCCTTTTGCCACAGACGCTCCCGGTCACCGTGACTTCATCAAGAACATGATTACCGGTACCTCCCAGGCCGACTGCGCTATTCTCATTATCGCTGCCGGTGTTGGTGAGTTCGAGGCTGGTATCTCCAAGGATGGCCAGACCCGTGAGCACGCTCTGCTCGCCTACACCCTCGGTGTCAAGCAGCTCATCGTCGCCATCAACAAGATGGACACCACCAAGTGGTCCGAGGCCCGTTACGAGGAGATCATCAAGGAGACCTCTGGCTTCATCAAGAAGGTCGGCTACAACCCCAAGACTGTTGCCTTCGTCCCCATCTCCGGCTTCCACGGCGACAACATGCTTGCCCCCACCACCAACGCTCCCTGGTACAAGGGCTGGGAGAAGGAGACCAAGGCTGGCAAGTCCACCGGCAAGACCCTTCTCGAGGCCATTGACGCCATCGACACCCCCAAGCGTCCCACCGACAAGCCCCTCCGTCTTCCCCTCCAGGATGTCTACAAGATCGGTGGTATTGGAACAGTGCCCGTCGGCCGTATCGAGACTGGTGTCCTCAAGCCCGGCATGGTCGTCACCTTCGCCCCCGCCAATGTCACCACTGAAGTCAAGTCCGTCGAGATGCACCACGAGCAGCTTACTGAGGGTCTCCCCGGTGACAACGTTGGTTTCAACGTGAAGAACGTCTCCGTCAAGGATATCCGCCGTGGCAACGTCGCCGGTGACTCCAAGAACGACCCCCCCATGGGTGCCGCTTCCTTCAACGCTCAGGTCATCGTCCTTAACCACCCCGGTCAGGTCGGTGCTGGATACGCCCCGGTTCTCGACTGCCACACTGCCCACATTGCCTGCAAGTTCTCCGAGATCCTCGAGAAGATTGACAGACGTACCGGCAAGTCTGTTGAGAACAACCCCAAGTTCATCAAGTCCGGTGACGCCGCCATCGTCAAGATGGTTCCCTCCAAGCCCATGTGCGTTGAGGCCTTCACCGACTACCCCCCTCTGGGACGTTTCGCCGTCCGTGACATGCGCCAGACCGTCGCCGTCGGTGTCATCAAGTCCGTCGAGAAGTCCGCTGGCAACGCTGGCAAGGTACGTTCACACAACTCATCTCACTCTCATTTCTCTTCATCAACTAACATCTTCATCACCAGGTCACCAAGTCCGCTGCCAAGGCTGGCAAGAAATAAGCGATCTAACTCACCAGGGTTGGTTGCTGAGTTCGCCCACGGCCTTACCGCTGTGGCTCACTCACTTCTACGGCTTTACGAATTCCCTTTGCGTGGCATGAGGACATTATGATATGGCGGAAAGCACGAATATCGAGAGGAAGGTTGGACCGGATGATTCTACGTCAAAAAAGCTTCTCATGATACGTGCCTAGTAGCACAAAAATAGAGTCCTAGAAGTGATTCCCAAGTTAAAAAAACAACGTTCCCAAAATGCCGTGACATGATGCTCCATGACACAATCTTCTATCTTAAAAGTCGTCGCTGCCGAGATATGTGTCCTATGCTGTCGTTCGAATGCTTGATTGATCATAGCGAGCCTTGTGCTGTCGTAATGCCAGTGAGGCTTTCAACGAAGTGCTAAGCCTAAGTATGACAATTCGGTCCCGAGGTTTTCATTTGACTCTCCACATGCCACCGCGAGACTGTGGACCTGATTATGGACCTTGCCTCTCCCACGAGAGTGTTGAACGAAGCCCACTTCAGTAAATGTCTTTATTTGTTCAAGCCGGACGATTTATGGATGTCTTGACTGAATGCTAGTAAGTAGTTAGGCTGGCGGAAGAGTTCCAAGGTAACCTTCCATCTCCCAAAGCTAAGCACCCATGATCAGAAAGGGAGACTTCCGCACCTCTCACCTTCACCAGAAACTGCACTCACCGCGTCCTCAGTGAACATGCCTGATTTCCGGTCATACAAGCATCAAGTGATTAAGGTGTTTAAACATCAATGATGGTACAGTTGATCTACAATTATTTGGTACATGATTTTACAAGTCATCCTTCTTTGGCGTCTCAGTCTCCCCGCCCACAGAAGTCTCACTGTCCTCGTTGGCCGACGCTTCAGCATTGCCGTCTACTGAAGTCTCAGCTTTGCCCTCCTCTGTCACTTCCAGCTGCTCCATGGGAAGATCGAGCTCACTCTCACGAAGAGCACGCTCCTCTCCAGCTTCCGCAACCTCAATTTCCTCGACCGCCGCTGCCGTCGTGTCTTCAACTTCCTTAAACTCTCCCGCAAGGTCTCTCTCTCCGATCCACTTCACAACACCTCCTCTCACAAAGTCCTCCGCGATGTCTAGGTACTTCCTCACATAGGTCTTCTCTTCGTATTTTGACAAGCTCGCGTCGGCAGGCGGTGGCACAGCTTCAAAGTTCATCTGAGAACGGCGACCACCGTGCAAACCAGCCTCGATGCTCGCCAACTGGATCTTATGACCCTCGTAACTCACCTCGAGAGCCCGACGCATCTCGAGACCGGCAAACATGTACTTCACGGGCCCGGAAACGCTCCCGTCGTCCTTAGCGGAAGGGAGACCGGACAGCTCGACCTCCGGCGGCGGGCGCAAGCGTCCTTCGAGGAGGTCCAGCTTCGCGGCCTCAATGTACTCGCGGAACGCAGACGTGTCGAGGGCCTCTGGTGACATGGTGGACACCAACGGCTGCGAGAGCCGCAGGTCGACGGGTTCGGAGGGGTACGCGACGTCGGTAAAGGTCTGGCTGAGGGTGGCGACGAGACGCTTGGGAGTGGCGTCCCACGCCAGGGGGCCCTCGGGAAGGTCGTCCGGGACGGTCAGGTGGAGCTCGAGGAGATCGGGAAGGTCGCGGGCTGTTTCCTTGGCCACGGAAGGGTGAGGTCGGAAGACGAGAAGGAGGGTAGTTATGATGGGGCTTTCCGGGTTCGCAGAGGTAACTGACTCCACGATGGGTGCGAGACCTGCGGGAGGCGGGGAGCTAGGTGAGAAGATGTGATTCTTGGCTTTGGCTGCCTTGGCGATTGTAAAGCTTCCTTCGTCGTACTTGTGGAGTATCTGGCCAAAGGAAGCGGCTGTCGAGACATACGGCTTGCTCCAAGGAGCATCTGAATCCACGGCTGGGGCCTTGGTAGAAAGAGGCAAAGGCAAAATGTCGCCCTCCGTGATGGTGAACGCCTTATCGGTAGAATTTTCTCGACCGGCTTGCTTCACCCACCGAGACCACTGTGTGAGCCTCTCCTTCCACGAGAGCTTCTCGTTGCCGCGAGGCTCGGCAACAAGTCTTGCCTTCTTCACATCGGACTCATGTTTCAGGGTGATGGACTGTTCTCTCGGAAAGAGGGCGGAGTGTAGCAGACGCTGAACAATGTGGCCCAGTTGTTCACCCGTTTCGTCTTGGTCTACCTGTTCGCCAAAGGCGACTTCTGTGTTTCCGTGTTTGATCCACGATACCTCAATCTGCCCAGCTATTAGTCGTGGCCATATCCCCAATACAACGAGCTAGACGCACCTCTTTACGCTTTTTACGGTCAATGAAAGTATTGGTGAGCTGGCCCAAGTTCCAGAGCAGCTGGCCGTCGACGTCGCTATTAGCAAGCCAATCGGCTTTGAAGTTCTTCACGATTATAGCTTTGGACGCTTCGTCCAACCTCTGAAGAATTGCCTGCGTCTTGGCCTTGGTGGCGTTGATCTTTAATATCGAATCCGAGATATCAATGGTTTCGCCTGGATCAAGATAGGCTTCCCTGATGGCGTCCAGTCGCTGCTCTTGGTCTATTTGCATGTTAGACAGTATCGCCGTAAGTGGGCCAAATTACTCACTCGTAAGCAGGGCAAAGAACCGCTCGTCGATCCGCCCGCTCAAGTAGCCTTGGCCGTCGACAATCTCCCTCATGGTCAAGCGCCAGGCCTCCAACATGAGAGTCAGTCCCAGCCTCTCCTTGGCCGAGCCGTCGATTTCGACGCTTGCCACGGGGGTCCAGGGCGTCAAAACTTCTACAGAATCGTAGGGCTGCTTCGTCTTCTCCTTCGGCTTAGTAGCAGCCCTCGCGTTCGCACGGCTTACATATGCCCTGAGCTGGGCGACTGTGAAGCCATTGATGAGGACATCCAGCAGCGTATAAAAGTCATCGTACGAGACAATGGGGTCGGAAGGCCGGATCTCTTCGAGGTTTGATAGCGCCTCCTCCATCGTCAGATCCTTATCTTCAGATGCGAGGCTTTGGCTGATGTCGAATGCCTCAGGAATGAGCTCTTCCACAGGCAATTGCTTGATGTCCCGGTGGCGTCGTCTCATGTCGCGCATCACGATCGCTTGTGCCTTTTCTCCCAGCATATCAACGTCCAGTGCCTCAGACTGGAGGTACACACTACGATTGCCAACGCGACGCCTCGAGACGCGGTCGAGGGGGTCTTCGCCGATGTAGTATCTCGTCAAGAGAGGGCTCCTTCGCTTCGTTGGGTCTCGGGACAAGGTGGCAGCTTCCGGTTCGGTTCTGATCGATGCGCCATCTTCATCTACTGTTTTGAATGACGTCTGAGAAGGCTGGTCTTTCGTAGGCGAGACATCCTTCTCAGGAACCTGTCTGCTTGGCGGTTCTTCATCCTTCCCTTCTGAACTTCTAGTAAGACGCTCCCACGCCGACTCGGAACTATACGTCCGTCGCTGGAGGAAATGGGTTCGAAAAGGGGCGATTCGGAGCGAGCTATGAGCTTTCGGTCGATCGAGGATTCGTAATTGACATCGCAGGCATACACCACGAGCAAACACTGCTCGCGAAATCATTTGAAAGAAAGAAACGCAAAATAACGCTGTATGAGCATTCACATGCCTTTGCGAACATACAACCATGTCACTCAGACCAGAGCTCCCAAATTTTTGCGACGAGAGCTGGTTACGATAAGATAAGAGATAAGATAACGATGCGCAAGCCTGCAGGTGCGAAGGGTCTAAAGTGGCACCGCGAAGACCGCGTCCCGTCGCGTCGGACTGCAAGCTCACTGAACTTCAGTTACCAGTACAGCCGGACACCCTTCACTTTGACTGTCTACTGCATGTAAATTGCAGAATTCGGTTCCTTGCCATTTGGCTATCAGAACTGGAGCACTTTTCTCCCACTCAGAACCAACATGCCTCCCTCACAAAGACGGAGACGACCCGTATGTACTGCGCCGAATCCTCACGGCTCGCATCAGAGACTAACAATACGCAGGTGGATGACGAGGACTCAGAGGAGGAGCACAGGCACCCCAGGCAAAGGCGCAATCACGACGAGTCCGCGGAAGAAGAGGGTTCAGAGCATGGTGCCGTGGACTCTGAAGCGAGCGCGGAAGATCAACTCGCCAAGAAACTGGTACGATATGCGCTGGCCTCCGAGTTTTCTCGGACGCCTATCCGTCGAGATGGTATCAAGGAGAGAGGTACGGAGATACGACGGGCTTGTAGTACTGTGAACATTACTGACGGTCGCTTTAGTTCTTGGAGACCAGGGTAGAGCCTTTAGAAAAGTCTTTGACCTAGCGCAACAACAGCTCCGCCTCGTCTGGGGCATGGAGCTACGAGAACTCGCAGTGAGGGAAAAGTTCACAATGGCGGAGAAGCGACAAGGCAAGTCTCACATACGACACAACGTCAATTGGCATCCCCCGCTAACGCCGCACAGCATTAAAGTCCGGCTCCCAAGCAAAAACCAGCTCAGGCGTCTACGTCCTCTCCTCGACCCTCCCCTCCGAATACCGCGCCCCGACCATCCTCGTCCCCTCAAAAGCACCGAGCACCGACGCCGAAGCCTCGTACGTGGGCTTCTACACCATGATCGTGACCATCATCTTCCTCAGCGGCGGCGAGATGTCGGAGCAGAAGCTGCGGCGGCACCTGAACCGCCTCAACGCCGAGGCCAACGTGGCGGTGGAGAAGACGGAGGACGTGCTGAAGCGCATGCAGACGCAGGGCTACGTCGTACGCAAGGTGCAGAAGAACGCGGGGACGCAGGCGCAAGACGGCAGCGAGGATATTACGTGGCTCATTGGCCCGCGCGGACTCGAGGAGATTGGCGCCGAGGGGGCGGCGGGCCTGGTGCGTTCTGTCTGGGCCGATCAGGCTGATGCGGAGCTGGAGAAGAAGATTGAGGCGAGTTTTGGAATTCGCCCGGCTGAGGATGGGGATGGCGATATGGATATGTCACAGGCCGAAGCTGGACCCTCGCATTGAGGTGGCGTAGCGGCGTAGGGACAGAGGAGGATGCCCACGGTTAGGGAGGCAATGTTCGGTGGAACGGGATACCCAATAAGTAGCAAGCATTCCTAGCGCATGCGTTTATGAACAGCCAACATTTGGCAAATGGATTTCTGAGGGTGTCTAGCCCTCCATTACCGAGTCCGAAACACATTGTCCCCAACGCCAGTGCCCTTGTAATCCATATATCTCTTTCAAGAACCATGCTCCGATAGTTGTCGCTGGTCGTTAATCTTCGCGTTGTGGTGGTGGACCGGCGGGTTGCATCATTTTCTGTGAGCAGTCAGAAAGCGCGTCTCGAACCATCCAGAGTTGAGCTTCAACATACCCTGATTAACCTCGCGCGCAGAAGCTGTGTAGGCTCGTTCTCAGCCAAGGCCATGTACGACAGCATAGGGGGGTGGCCGGCGATGGATGAGTAGGTGTCGCGGTAGATATTGGTCTTCCACTCCCAACTCGTTGTATCGGGGTGTCCGGTGCCAACGTACTTGGCCTGGAGGCGCTCGAGTTCTTGCTGGTTACGGAGTTTGTCGGCCTATACATCAATACTGTTAGATCATTCTCCTATTACAACGGGAATCTCTACATACCATGTTGTCTTGTGTTGCTGAACAGAAATGGAGATGGTGTTTACAAGATTGAAAAGCTTCAAAGCACTGGACTGTCTTCCATGGATGCGCCGGCTGAAGCTCGGCAGACGTTCACCGAATGAAGCTGGAAGGGACGTGCGCGCTTGAGCTGCCTTCACCTTGAAGACCCACTCCTTTCCAACTCAACCACGGACTTCTCAGTCTCCTCCAACTACCTTACATCTAAACATAAACAAAGAGACTTCATCAAACAGAGAATATTGCATCTCATGAGAACTGTTTGCTGTTCACATTGAGGAATTACTCTTGAGAGGACGAAATCCTGTGAAACACTTCTCTCCACCAACACTCTTCGTTGCCTACGACAACCACAGCAACAAAGCCGAGATGAGCAAGAGCCAGATCCAGCAGAGGGTCTTGCAGACCAAGCGGAAACAGCAAAAAAATGAGGCCGAATCCATCGAAAAGTTGAAGGCCAAATGCGCGGAGGAGCACAGCAAGGCCCACGTTGCGCACTGCAAGGACTGTTATGGGGAGGTTGTGGAGACGATGAGAAGCAGATACGCCGATTCCAAGGATGAATGGTTCTCCGACAACAAGGCCTTCTTGAGTGATCTCGACGGCTTATTCGCCAAGTTGAAAGACTTTACGGAAGACCTCAAGTCCATCGAGGCTCGGATCGACAAGGAAAAGCAGAGGCACTATCGCGAAATTCTACCTAAATCGGTCGCAGGACAGATCGCCGAGGCGTCGATTGGCAAGGATGAATTCCAGGCTGCATTGGAGGACGAACAGAAATCCACCACTGCTCTCATCGAGGATGTTCGAAAAGTCGTCGGCAAAGGAGGCAACAATGCTCCAGGCTTGGAGGAACTGGCACCGAAATTTGACGACCTCCCGCCAGAGAAGGCAGCTGATGTTCTCGTTGACGTCTTCTTCCGCGACCCGAGCACGGGTGAGATCCCGGCATCATGCAGCAAGTACGTTGAGAAGCTGCGGTCCGGATCGTCCATTGACGAAGTAATGGGGGCCATGCAGGCCGACAAGTCGGCGAGGTCCAACGCTGCTGGAAATATGGACCGGCACAAGCGGACACTGAACGAGCTGAAAAGGGCACAAGCGGCACATGAGCAGGATAAGCTCCTCAAAGCTCAGAAGCGGCAGCAGCCCCCGCCTCAAGGACCGCAAGTCAACAAGGAACTGTACGACCTCCCGCCATGCCTAGCTTGCTCTGGCAAGGTGTCATCGGAGGTCATCGCGTGCCCTTTGTGTTTGATCTTTGCCGAGCTGAGCCTCACTAAGAGGACAGTCTTCGACTCGGAGAAGTGTTGCGAGGAGGCATACGTGAGTCATTCTCTATCAATGCGGCAACTACGTTATTGTAGGCTAACAGGTGATACAGGATGAGCACGTGAATGCGGCGCACAGCTGTGCGGCAGGCAAGGGATGCATCCAGCTCAAGGAGGAAGACGAGGAGATGGGTGGTAGCGGCGAGGGACCTGTGATCTGCGAAGAATGCGCAGAACAACTTGGACAGAGTATAGTGTACTGTTCATCCCGCTGCGCCAGCTCGGATTTCCAAGCCCACCGAGAGGGAGTTCACATCCCGAATTGGAAGGGACTCGGCATCGACCTCGGTACTCAGGGGGAGCACTTGGTCTACGACAACGATGAGAAGACCAAGTATCACGTCAACGATATCTCCAAGTTTGTGTGGCGGCTTGACGACGCGTTTGATCGCGTCTTTAAGGGAAGCAATCCTGACATTAAGGATGTACAGCGCTAAGGAGTCGCTCATCAGGATGTCTCCTCTGAAGCTCTCGATAGACAGCACGACACTCTACGAGGCGAATCGTGCCCGTGAGGTTGGCTTACTACAATTTTATCACATTCAAATAACAAAGAATCATTCCACCAAACTTCCCAGCCCAGATGAGTGCATCAGAGTGTGGTTCAACGAGGCTCATGGTGACGTTTCAGAAAGCCACACTGCCACTCCAAGACTCCGAAGTGGTTCGGAACTTATCGGCAGCACCAAGGCCAAAGCCACAGCCACCGCAATTCGAGCACCTAAAGCTGGTTAGGTACCGTAAACCGTCCAGAAGACCCCTGGAATCCGCCCTAAGAGCGGAGCCGCCTAAGCTTGACGCATGCAACTTCCCCAAGGCACCAGCCAATCAACAACATCCGAACCTCGCCGGAGGACTCGTTCGACTCATTCGCTGCCCTTTCCTCAACCCATGTCTCTCTGCCCCGCGAAATTACCAAAGTGCCGGATGTTATGGTTCTTGTGGAATTACACCCAACTCACTTTCCAACCCCCATTCGCTCATTTGCAAGACATTCAAGGCGCAAGTTGAGCTCTGAGCTGATCAGATAAACGCTCTCATTCATCTCGGCTCCACCGTCATCTCCTTGCCAGGCGTGGCTTCACAGGCAGTGGATCTTCACTTTACTCTCCCAGCTCGTCCAGATAGGGGAGGTCGCCAGTCGCACTCTCTCCGTCTCTCTTGCTCCGCGCCAAGCTCCTCTGCAGACATCTTCGGCACTCGTCTGCCTGTTTAGTCACTTCTCTCGTTCCGGGCCTATTACCCGAGCACCCCCCATACACCCCGATCCGTCACTCCGTGTCGTCAACGCATCATGGAGCCCGGTACCGATCCTGACGCCGGCGCCAACCCGCGGCAGAGAGTGACCAATGCCTGTGAAGCTTGCAGGGCAGCCAAGGTCAAGTGCCAAACCAGCGTGCAGCTGGGAATATGTCGAAGGTTTGTTGTGTGTGGCCACCCTAAACCGGGGCGGTACTCCCCGAGCTGCCCCGGCGTATAAGTCGGTTCATCCGTATGCTCACCAACCGACCACCCAAACTCAGATGTCTCGACTTCAAGAGAGAATGTATCTTCCGCACCGGTCCAAGGACCCGTCGTCCACGGCAGTCTAAGCTGTAAGCTCTCATCAATCTCTTTGTACTCATTGCCCGCTGTTGGGCGATTTATCAACTTCAGATGAGCTTACCGCCTCACCAACCATACTCACATGCACCAGAAACCAAGACGCTCCCAGACCGCCTCCTCCACCGGGTCCCTCAAAGACGTTCAGCATCGACTTTGAGATGCCCCAAGTAGAAGAGCCCGATGACCTCGAAAGCCTCGCCTCCCGGCACGACAAGTATGTGGAGGAGTTTCTCCCCCCAGAGTCCGACCTAGACTCCATAGACGTGATGTTCGGCCTCGACGGCAGCTCCGGCAGCGGTCCCCACTCATCCATCTCGTCTCCACCGTCCTCGGGCCCGTCCGTTTCGGTGTCGAGCTTCGGTCTCAAACCGCAGTTTAACCTAGACTCGGCCGAAAAGCTGCTGTCGACTTTCCGCGTCATGCTCAAGCATTTCCCCTGCGTGGCGCTTCCGCCCGATGCCACAGTCACGTCGCTGTCAAAGACGAAACCGTTCATGCTTCTCGCCATCCTCTCGACGGCGTCTGCTACCAGTGCATTGCAGGGCCATACTCTCTATGATGAAGAGTTCCGCAAGATTCTTGGTCTCAAGTTCGTGGCCGGCGGTGAGCGGACGCTAGAACTCCTCCAAGGGTTGCTCATCTACACGGCATGGTGAGCTTGCCCAAATCCGACTGGTTACCCCTTTGAATAAACACACTCTTACAGAATCCAGGTACCCCTTTCACCTCCGCCCAAAGAATAAGCAAGCCTTCCAATACGTCCGCATGGCAGCCGAGATCCTCCACGATCTGGAGCTGAACCATCCACCTAACCAAGGCGCAGGCTCACCTGCCGGTGGCGGGGCGGGGGCCGGGGCGTCGTTCTCGTCCTCTGCGCCAGATCAAATGGACGGCATTCGTGCCTACGTGTCCTGCTACTACCTGGTGTCAGCGCACGTACTGCCCTTCCTGCAGTATTTTCGCCGCACGACTCTGACCGATGCTAGATTCGCAATGGCCTGGGCCAAGATGGCGATCCTGGCCCTCGACTACACATCGTGGACGGCCACCTGCTGCGATCTGCTCGAGCACAATTCTGCGCTCAAGGGCGATCACACTCTCGCGTGGCTCGCTAGGCTGGTCCACATTACCGAGGAATCGGCTGTCATCGCAAAGAGTATACCGCAAGGGGATCAGGCGAAGCAGCAGGTTCATTTCATGTTTCTCGGGCTCGAAAGCCAGCTGAGGGAGTGGCAAGGCAGGATACCAAGCAGCCTCGGCGACATTAGTCAGTCTCCATTCTCCCATCCATCCAACAAACACACACTCCTCCTCATACTAACTCAACCCGTTCCCAGACTCCCTCACACTAGCCAACCTATTCACCGAAATGTTCCTCCTCGCCGGCCCAGTCTACACCCTCCGCTCAACAGCAAAAATAGGCGACAGCGACCTCGGGCCCCCGATCCCAGCCCACCGCCTCGACAAGTGCCTAACCCTCCTCCGCACACTCCTCGACTTCATGGTCAACCTCCCCGCCGCCGCCTTCGTCGAGCTCAGCTCCATCGACTGGGGCCGCTTCATCCAGGCCGTCATCCTCGCCATCCGCCTCTCCTTCCCCATGCCGCTCTGCCCGGAGTGGGACCACGCCCGCGCCCGCGAGCAGCTGCAGTTCGACTCGTACCTCGCCCGCCTGTGCGCCAACAGCGAGGCGCCGACGCTGACGCCCGCGACGAAGAGCACCATGGACGTCCTGTCGGCGGGTAAAGTTGTCTTTGCGGTCGTCAAGCGCAAGTACGAGGCTCGCGTCGCGAATATCGAGACGCCGGTGAATAAGTTGCCACGGACGATTCGCGGGTGTCCAATGTTTGATGGGAGTCTGGATCAATATTTCCCGATATGGGATCAGGATCTGAGTAGGGACGGGACGCACGGGTTGGTCTCTCCCGCGGCGAATGGGACGCCTGCGATGGCGAATGGGCAGCCTGTCTATCATGACCTGTGGGCGACGATGACTATGAACTGGCCTGATGGTATGGCTGGTACCGCTACACCCGGGTTTGATCTAAGCCAGGCCCAAGATCCGACGATGAGCCTCGATCCTTCATTTCAGGGGGCCATGAACCTTGGCCCTTCGCCTAGTGGCAGTGGGTGAGAGTTGTTAAGTCTGCAGCATTTGACGCTTCATATGTCATCAGGGTTATTATGAGTAGCGACAGCGAACCTTTTGCTCTTGAATGGCGTTTAGTTTCAGGTCTCTTCTTTTTAGATGGCGGGCGGGATGTTGGCTTCATCACATGATTCGCATAAAGGCGTGGACTCATATATTTTCCAATCTGGTAGAAGAATACTTGTTTCAAGAGTGCCATCATCGTCTACTTCCGTTTCCTCATTGATGTATCCACTGCGGAGAACATGTCGAAACCGAACGAAAACGACAAGACGGCTGCTGCCCCAGGCCTGCCCATCGTGGAGTATAGAAAGCGTGCCACGACAGCGGTGGAAGGCAAGCAGCTAGTGGCTGCCCACATAGCATGGGCAGTAGGCCCCGATGTCGTTGATGAGCCAGGGACAGCGCAATTTACAGTAGTGGTCGGAGTGAAGAAAGGAAAGAGGGAAGACTCTCGACTAGGGAGATAAAGGCTCGTTGTTCGTTCATTTCCGTGACCCCCTCCCCCGTATTCGTCTCATACTAATAACAGGACTGTGTATAACGGCGAACAATAGGGCTGTATATAATAGGGCGAGTAATAGGACTGTAAACAAAGGGGAGCGCAATAGGATTATAGGAAATAGGGAGAACAGAAGGACTATAAATAACGGGGACAACAATTAGACTGTGGGTAACGGGGAGCCGTTATAGCTTCTCTTAAGGAACTCACTCCTTTAGTCTATAAATAATAAGAAAATAACCTCCCTTATGTCCCAAGTAGCAGAGCATAGAGTGGGAATAACTGACGGCTAAATGTTAGGCTCCCTGCTACTTAGAAAAGGTCCTGGGCTAATATATAATTACCGTGTTCGGGTATAATAAGTCTTAACCTCGTCCATCAGACACGGGTTATTAAAACGCACCCAGCTTATAGCAGGGTCTATTCTCTATAGTATTATGTATCCGTATATAGATAACGTCGAGTTAGAAAATTGAAAGACAAAGCTTTTTACTAAGAAACAAAAGGCTCAGCGTTCGTTCACTACCCATAATCCCGTCCGTATTCGTCTCACGCTTATAACGAATATAACGACGTTATCGAAGCGGGATGCTGCGAACGGGCGTTCAGACCTTGTATGGCAAACTCACATGAGAACCTGCACACTGAGAGCACATGCACACGCATACACACCTCACCGCAACTCAGTCGGAAACAACGGCTTGGAGATTGGAGAAGGAGCTCTCCTTCCATGACAAGGCTGGCAAGGATGGAAAAAAAAGTTTGACTTGGCGTTGAATACTTATGCAGCGGTTCGTGAGATGGGCAGCGGGGACAATTTGGCTATGCCGTTTAGGGCAGCGGTAACAACCACCTTGGGCCTGGAGCAAGGCAGGCAAGAACGCCAAGGGTAAACTGGTGGTTGAGAATGGTATTCTCGAAGCTCATGTCTTGAGCCAGGTTGTTGGAAACCAAATCTATCCTATTCAGTGGAATCGCAATTCTCCCTTCCGCTTATAACAAGATGGACAAGAACGTCGAGGTTTGACTCGTCATTTCGAATTTCATCACCATGTTGAAATCATGGGAGAGTGGTCATTGAACACTTTGGATGTCCCAGGGGATAACAAACGCAGTATCGATGCAATTGTCTAGTTTGATAGATATAGAGACTCTTCTTTCGAAATGGGGACTCTTTTTCCGATATGTTCATGGCAAACATAAGTTTGCTTCCAGATCGATTGCTGACTGGCAATGGTATCTCTGCTTTGACTGTCAACCTACATGAAGCATCACGTAACATGAAGCCTCGTATATGCTAGCTTTTCTTCATCTTCGTCTGTCACATGGCTACCATTGTTTAAGGTAGGCTCTCCAAGCAGGTATGGTTGCATTCATCTACGACAAAGTGTGTCGTCGACGTCTTGATACCTCAGACTGTATTGAACGAGTCCTGGGCTTACATCTTAGCCTAGCGTGAATCTCTTCCTCTCAGCCACTTGAACTGATTATATCCAGTCGATCTATCCTTAGACCTCACCCGAACCAGGCGCAAAGCTTTCACACAGGATAGTCGCTTACCTCCCCCCTCGAATCGGCCTCGTGAGAATCGAGAACACATCCCCAATCCACCCCGTCCACCCCCTAACATACTCAACCGTATTCATCACCCGAATCCACCTCCACACAAAAGCCTCGCAATCCTTATAATCTTCCGCATACACATCCCACACCGCAACCTTTCCCCCCTTCGTACCTACCATCACCTCACCGTCCTCACCATCCTCCTCCAACAACCCCAAGGCATCAACCTCCGGCCCAACAAGCAAAGCCCTTCCGACAACCCCCTCATCAGCAACAAGCCTCGTCGCAGCATCGACAACATCCCTCCCCTGGGCCCCGCCCGCCCCGCCACCAAGCAACGCCGCCTCCGCCGCTCCCGGGAACATCTGGCTCCCGCTCACAAAGTACGGGCACACCATGTTCATCCGCACCCGGTGCCGCATATACGCCGTCCCGCGCATCGCCCGGAAAAGCCCCGTGACGGCGTGCTTGGACATGGTATACGGCGCCTGGCCCGGGAAATGACCCACGCCGGCAACGGAGCCCACCAACAGCAGACACCTGTCGCGGGGCGAGGACGAGCCACCGGCACCATTCCCGTTCCGCGGCAGCCAGAAGAGGGCGAGGTGCGTCGTGTACGACAACCCCGTGATATTCACGTCAATAATCTTCGTCGACGGCTCCCGCGGCGCGTCCGGGTCCGTACTCGAGGCCAGGGGCATCTCGAAGCGTCCATTTGCGCCGGGCTCGTTGACGCCCGCGTTCGCTACCACGACGTCGATGACGCCGTTGGGCGAGAGTCGCGCACCCTCTTTGAAGAAGGAGACCTGTGACTCCCAGGACGTGACGTCGCAGGTGACAAAGTGGTGCGATCCACCTTTCCCTTCTCCTCCTTCCCTTCCTCCTGCTCCTCCTCGCTTTGCATACTCGGCGCGGAGTTCGGCAACGAGGGCCTCGCCCGCGGACGGGTTAATGTCACCGACAATGACATTGGCCCCGTGCGAGGCCCACTCCCTCGCAAAAGCCGCGCCGAGGCCGAGGGCACCGCCGGTGATGAGGACGGTCTTGCCGGCGAGGGTGGAGGGGTCGTAGGGCTGCGTTGTGTCGACGGGTGGCGAGAGGTTCGTCACGGGGATGAGGTTGTGGTAACCCTGTGCGACTGTCATGATGGAGGAGAGGGGGTGCGGACGCACAAGCGCAGGCGCAGGCGCGTGAGAGTGGTGAGCGGTGAGTGAGGTCGGGACGAAGCAAGTGACACGCTATTGTGAGACGTTTGATTTTGATTTTTGTTGAGATGCGGGAGGTTGCAGTAGTCGATGAGCAAACGTCCCGAACGACTTGGTGGTGAGTGAAGCGAATCAGGTCACCAAGAGTAAGGGTATTTACAGATGGGTTTATCTTTGCATATAATCAGTAGAAAAGGGGGTCATATGAAGAGGATGTTTAGTAGTATTACACCGTCTTAGAATACAAATTCAGCCAGGTGTCCAGATTATCAAATTATCCCTAACAAGCCACGCGATGCGAGGGCGGAAACAACAGGAAGAAGTAGACTGTAAGGTAGTGGACTGACGCGGCCAAAGTGCCCATCGGGTAAGAATCTGGCAGCGTTGCTAGGTACGGATACTCTGAAAGTGTCAGGTAAGCACCGTATACCGTAGCGTGCTGCGGCTGAAAATTACAAGACCCCGAGCCATGTGTCGCCGCTCCCGGCTGGCAGGATTCCCGTCCCTGCGTCAGTTTGTGCGCGAAAAGGTGGGAAACAAAATAAGGGGCGGGGAGGGGGGAGAGGCACAGTTGGTCGTGCAAAAGATGACGACGGCGGATCTTTTCATCAAAAATGTCGTCTCCGCCCCCGGTGACCCCGGTGACCGGCACGAATTTCCAAGACTATTCGGTCGGGCAGAGAAAAGAAAACACGGAGCGGGGCACCGGAGCCTTTACCCAGAGAGAGGGTCCCGTCTCCCGTCGTACAAGACGTTTGAAGAAACTCCATTGATAAAGATCAACTTTCGAGTCAGGGGAAACAAAATAGCTTGCAACTCTCGCCGGAGCCCCCTGACCTAGACGGGCAGATACGTACGCGGCGGCGGGGGGGCCCAGCGGGCGTCGAACCCGTGTTCAGAGCCTGTAATCAGGCTGAGAATCCTTACTCTGTATCTGTATGTCCATACTTCGTACTCCTTAGTTGGCCCGTCTTCGTAGTCAGCCACATGCTTAAAGATTGAAGCAGCAGCTGCACGTTGACAAGCAGGACGAGGTTAAAAAATGTTGACCCTGGAGATAAAACCCCAGACGCAGTGTGGCATGGGGCTCTGTAGGCTCCGTGCCAGGCTTGTCGCACACACCCCCTAGACACCGAACCTGCCCCTCCCCCTCCCCGCCAAATGTTTCGGTTGTCTCGGGGCCTGCATATAGTTGCTGCTGCCCTCAAAGTCTGTCTCCCAAAGTTGTGTGGTCCAATTTTAGACTCGATGGGAAGGAGACCGAGGAGGGTGTTATGGTTGCGGCGGTTTTCGGATGAGTGCTGTTTGGTGTGCTGCAGCTCGCACGCTTGTTGATGACAGAAAGAAGGAACCTGAGGTAAACAAACTTGGGGAGAGCCATACTTTGCTCTCACAGGCACGGATTTTTTGTCGTTGGATAAGGACCCTTGCTTTGACATTCTTCGAAGATAGCCTGCCTGAGCACAAAAAAAAAAAAAAAATGCTGGCGGCCGGGCAACCCTGTCTGCTCAAGACCGCGGAAGCCCCCCGAGTGGTTGACTGGCAAGGAGATAGAGATCCAGAGGTCAGATGGCCTTGACTTTGAGCGGACAGAGTTGGCCACGCCTCTACTGCGTAGGTATCTGTACCATGGCTTCCGCTTCATGGGCGCCCGGAAATGCTTTCCTCGCCGGTAGTGGATCGTGGTTCAAACCAGCCCCTTGGACTTTTGGAAGCGCGGCGGCCCAGAATCACGGAACAGACGCGCTCCGGTTGTCTCGCGCATGCCACCATCCGGAACCTGAACTGTTTGTTCATTACTGTCGGTTTGGCCTGTGATCGGTGCAGGATCTGTAATGATAATACAGAGCCTCTGCTCTGTAGAAACAAATATCACACAGCCCGGGCCTGGCGGCGGCTCGGCGCTTCGGCCACCCGAACGCCTGTCCTGTCCAAAGTCGAGAGATGATGGGGGGTTGTTCGCTTCGGTTCCCGAATGCTCCAAACTCTTTCCAACATGGTTGAGAATTAGCTCTTCTGGTCCTTTACATGGCAACGCAAGCAACAGCATTGGCTTCCAAGCGCATCTGCCAAACTTCAGCCAGCCACTTCCTCCTGTTGGCTTGTTTGCTCGTCCATCTTTTGCGATTGGAGTGGGTCTCGCCTCGAATCTGATGTTTCAACGAAAAGCCCGGCCGAGACCAGTTGCACGGGAAGGATAGGGAGCCGAGAAAAGGAGAGGACAATTCCCGTAGGATACAAGCGGATTTCCGTAGGCTTTCCAACGTCGGCAGTCATCTGGGCAAGTTCGTGAGAATCGACAGCGCCAAGCTTTCCCAAGGACCCCGCAGGCCCCTCCCCATTGTGAACGGTGGGACTGGCAACTTCATCGTATCGGAAGTCTTCCTGGCAGACACCCTCCCCGTTGGGTGGTCCTGACTCTCCATTCTTTCGTCCTGGGCCGCTTTCAGTCCAGTCGACCCCGCCATCACTCAATCTTAGCGCTTCTTCTCGATCGAACCCCCCTCGTCTCGTGAGTGTGCTCATACTTCGTCATTGTTTGCGGTATCTCGCACCTCCAGCATCTGGAGTCAAGAGCCGGAGAAAAGGTTGCTGTTGTGACAACCCTGACTGATATTGGTAATCTATCGCACCTCGATATCTCCTCGACCTCATACAACGGCTACAGACAGTAGCTGCCACCTCGGTCGGTAAAAATGTGACAACGTGCCGGTCGATTGCGTGCTATGAGAGAATCGATGCCGCTTCGTCTGAGTCTCAAAGTTGCAAGATGAGTTGGTCCATCTAGAAATTGCAGAGGCAATAGCCAGCCTTCGACATCAGCTTGGGAGCACCCCGCCGCGGATAGAGAATCGCCATTGCGGATCATTCAGAAGTGACAGATGTCAGACCGAGCCTCCAAGGCCCAGGCCTGACGGTGTCACGGTGTGTAGGTCGCAGTGGCTGGTTTAGCCAGAGAGGGACACATGCCGACGACAAACCGCTGTTAGGCCCGGTAGTGAAGAGATCATCATGATTGGCAGACCTGCCCACCCTCAACCAGCCGTGAGACCCTGGTGGTATGTTTATGAGGTTACGAATTACCGAGTCAAACCATTGCTTGCTTACGGATATTTCCCATCCCTCCAAAGTCCTCCTCGATAGCAGCCGGGCCGCTAAATCAACTCGGAAGGGGGTCACTCAGAAGACATAAGACTGAGCCGGTGGCAGAGCCTGCTGCCCAGTACCATGCGAGAAGCAAAGTTTGGGCCCATCTCTCCAAACGCTGAGCGCTTGAATTCATCCCAACAGTGCATCTTCCTTGCTAGTTTCAGGATTCTGCATCCGGAAGTGACTGGCCATGGCATCCGTACAGTAGTCCCATGCACGACAAGTGGTACTTTCCAGGGTTGGCGGCCAATGAGCCTCTACTTTCAGCAAGTCGTCTCTCCCGTGCGTGATTTGACTTTTCAACGGTTGGCTGACGAACAAAGGACGTACTCGGTCGTTCAGGAGATGTCAAGATACCGGAATGGCTGCTAAAGTACGTGAGGAAGTGGCTTATCCCGGGTATTCGTTTGAACTTGGTACTTTTGCGGAGATTCAATATCGTAATTTCTGCCAGGGCACCTCACGCCTCGGTCGAACGTATCGAGAATAACGTCGATGTCGCTATGACGGAGAATATCAAATACCCTCGGTCGAAGCGACGAAGGCTACCGCTAGAGAGACAGGTCAAAACTCGCGGCATTCGAACTCTAAGTTGAGAGGAAAAAGCACAAAAGGCGAACTTATGCAAGGCTGGAGTTCCTCGAACGTTCCCTACGCTCAGTTATCAGTGAAGTCTATTCCTTCGTGTAACACAGCCTCATAGATTGGTGTACAATATGAGGCTCAAGTAGGGGAAGTTTTCCGAGATCAGCCCGCTCTAGACCAGTGACTTGGAGAATAAGAGGCGAGTCGACAGCCTTACGAATGATGTGATTCAGCAAGACAAGTCCGCTCCTGGTAAGCTCATGATTGTCGTTTGCGTCCGTATCTGTAATTGAGCCGAGTCTTGGAGGAACATGCTCAGTGCATCTTGCGAGCTCGCACTCGCTGTGTGACTGGCCACTATTCAAAGTGACGAACAAATAATCGGCTGAGGAAAGCATGGGTGTCCTATGTTGTTCCGCTACATTCTAAGAATTGCTGTTGTGCTTTTCGAAGCCCTCCAGGAGTCGAAAATGTATAGCGGTACATGCTGAAGGGTGGATGAAAAAGATCGGCAACGATGACATTGACCTATTTCCGAGGGCAAATTCACATCTTGAGCCTTGGGTAGGTCGATCGTTCCAGAGTTCTATCTTCAGCCTCGTGTCTCCATCTGACTGGCTATTCCGGTATTTCTGGACTTAGAGTGTTCTCTGAGCTCGTGAAAGGGCGGAAGCGAGGTGGCTCTCGGGTTTGTTTTGGTTGAAAACTGTCATCCCATACAATTATGCCGTCCCCTTTGTTTGGGGGGGGGGGGAGGGGGGGTAGGCTGGTCTCTAAAGTTGCTGATGCGATGGCGAGCGGGTGACGGGACAAACCAGAAGCCAGTATCAGAGCGCATTGGGTCGCAGACGTGACGACCGGGCCGCGGGAATGAAAAAACTCAAACACCAAACGTAACTGGATAAAGTGTTATAGACACACCGCGGAATGCTACCAAGGAGGAGGACGAAAAAGTAAGGCCCTGCAATGTGAACAGGTCCCTGTATAATACCGGTAGATACCTGTACTGCCAGCCTCCGTAAGAAGTCCAAAGAAAGATGCTGTGATCAGGAACTTGTCGCCCTGGCTACTTTGTAGACGAAGGTCTAGCCAACAAGCTAGGGAGCACATCTCGCAAAGTCTTGTGAGTTGCAACGTCTACCTCTCACGGCAGTTGAACCGACTTATATCCGTGAGTTTGATGGCTGGTATCTGTGAGCAATTTC